AAATGCGTTACATTGTGTACCGTATATGTTCTCGTATAATCATACTGGGGGCCCCATCGGCAAATTCGCCCGGGGCCTCTGAAGTCCTAAGTCCGGCCCTGCATCAGTAAAGATCAAAATTTATTAAAACTAGTAACCAGGATTATGCCTTTTGAGGGAAGAAGTTAATTTCTCCCTAGCCTACTGTACGAATAATTTCTAAGTACCGTAACCACTTTGCCTATCCTTGCTATCCTGACCCATAAACTTTTTCTGGAGAAAATGTTCAAATTTTTACACCTCCCCCCGCTGAAGGTATGATCTCATACTTTAAGCTATTACTTAAGCAACAGCACTGGATATCAGTGTACAACGCAACAACAATGAATGACAAATTTTCCAATTTTGAAAGCCAGTTACGCAACATATTTGAAATAGCATTTCCATTGAAAAGAAAGAAAGTAAAATAAAGGAAAAACACAGGTCGTGTAGTTTTAGACAAAGAAATGTGCCAAAAAAGGACAGAAATGATTGACCTATACAACAGAACAAAAGATCTTCCCTCCGAACATTACATGAGACAATATTATTTAAGAATAAAATCCAATTTTAGAAAACTTGTGAGGCAAAAGAAATCTGAACTGTATTTATGTAAAATAAACCAGGCAGAAAATAAAAGCAAGGCTATATGGGATACAATTAATGAAAATAAAAATGGAACAAACAAACAATTTAAAGGAACCCCACCTCCTCGATGAGAAAGGTTATTTAATCACAGATCCACAATTAGTAGCTGATCGATTTAATAATTTCCTTGTTGAGATTGGCAGCCAGTCAAATAAAAAGGGTACTAACAGCTGTACAAGGCATGTGTCAAATTCCCTCTTCCTTTGCCCAACAACTGAAAAAGAAGTTGCAACTGAGATAAGGTTGATGAAAAATAAGAGTTCAGCCGGCACAGATGAAATATCTCCAAGGCTATTAAAAGAAATAGGTGATGTAATCTTGACACCTCTAACTCATTTAATTAATTCGTCCTTTATTTCTGGTCAGTTTCCTGAAACTCTAAAGCTGTCTGTTGTTAAGCCTATATATAAAAAGGGGGATGATCGTCTGTGCGATAACTACAGGCCAATATCAATTGTGTCAACGTTTTCCAAACTTTTTGAAAGATTATTCCTAAAAAGATTGCTGGAATTTCTACATAAAAATAACATACTCACCAGTAAGCAGTTTGGGTTCGTAAAAAACAGGTCGACAACAGACGCAATTTATCACCTTGTATCGACTGTGGTCAGCGCACTGGATAGAGGTGAGAAAGCTTTGGGATTCTTCTTCGACCTGACCAAAGCATTTGACACAGTGGATCATGACCTTCTCAAGCAGAAGTTACACTCTTATGGAATTAGAGGGCTGTCACTACAATGGATCTCGTCTTACCTTGCCAACCGAAGTCAATATGTGGAGGTGAAAGCGGTGGGTAGCACTGGGTGTCTACGCCCTCACAGATCCTCTACTGGAACGATCGTCAGTGGAGTGCCTCAGGGGTCGGTTCTTGGTCCGGTACTGTTCCTCCTCTTTATTAACGACCTCCCATCAGTTGTTCAAAAGGGTGAAATATGTCTTTTTGCTGACGACACCTCTCTCGCTGTCTCCAGCCCAAACCGACTCGAACTAGACATGTGTGCCTTTATACAAGCCAGTTGCTTGTTGCAGTGGTTCGACGAAAATCTCCTCAAAATCAATCCAACAAAAACTCAGCTCGTTGAATTCTCAATTAGGAAAACCAAAAACAAACAAAATTTTATTTTGGACGACACTGAAACTGAAACCACTGCTCAAGTAAAATTCCTGGGTTTGTTGTTGGACGAGAACTTGTGTTTCAAACCCCACATTGATTCTGTCTGTAGAAAGATCAGTTCAGGAATTTTTCTTCTGCGCCAACTAGCAAAATTTTCAAACAAAGATGTACTTCTTACTGCTTACTACGGTGTACTTTATCCTCACATGATATATGCAGTTGCATTATGGGGAGGTGAAAGCACAAGAACCCATTTCCTTTTTCGCCTTCAAAGGAGAGCTATCAGAATAATTCACGGCCTTCCCTACAAACAAACTTGTAGAGCTGTATTTAAATCATCCGCAATTCTAACTTTTCCCTGTATTTACATTCTAGAAGTCCTCACTTTTCTGAAGTCAAATTATTCTCATTTCCACACCACAAACACCCACTCATATCTGCTTCGCAATACTTTCAATCTGAGAATTCCAGCCCATTCAACCACATTCTTTGAAAGACATCTAAACTATAATGCCATCAAACTGTTCAATGCTCTCCCACTTCAAATCAAGTCCACATCAGATACGGGATGCTTCAAAAGGCACTTGAGGTCATTTCTCGTGGGTAAAGGCTACTACAGTGTCCGCGCCTTTCTCGCTGACGGACAGTCCTAATGAATGAATTTTAATTATTTTAAAAGTTAGTTAATAGTTATTTTTAGTAAATTTGACTCGGCTAATGCATTTGTAATGTTAATCTAGCTAAATAAATGAAAATGAGTTATTGAGTTATTGAGTTATTGAGAAGAACTTTAACTGTTGCGAAAGATTAAATACATTTTTCACCCAATAAACTATAGCTCTTGGCATGAGGTCTCTTATAAAACCGAGGTTACGGCCTTAAACTATACCAATTGATGAGAAGTAAATAATTTACCTGAACAAATTATCTATATTGGCTCTAGACGCATTCGTTATTTTATCATTGGGCTAAGCATGAATGTTTATTTTTATCTACAGATCGATATTAGACGGTAGACGGGTTGGCCGTTCACTTACGACAATAAACAATAAAAATACCAAAAGCGTAAAAAGATACGAAACAAAAGTCTAGTAAACCATTACAAGTTGTATAGATTAGAGTAACATACATTAAGGCATCCTCATCCGAAATTATTTTATTGTTAAGTACACACAGGAACTTTGAACTCATGAACAAATTTAATAAAACCAAGAGTTTGTTGTATGCCTATCATTCAACTTAAAATGGTATCTAGCTTTGTAAATTGTTTAGACACCACAATTTGATTAATGCGAGACACTTAAATCATCTAGACACAATATAGCATTTGGTTATTGCATTAAACACTCAAATTTTAAAAAATATAAAAAAGTTAATACACATTTTTGTTAATCTAGTGGACAGTTCAGGTTTCTGTTTATGGATGGAACATTATTTTCATCCAAACAGAAAAAAAGGGCTTGGGCCTTGTCAAAAAATCAACCAACTAATATACAAACAAACAACTATGCTTTTTATGTCTTTGGTTTAACAACATGTTTGAACAATCTGTCAAATAAAATAATGTTTAGTTGTCCCTATGACCTTCAAATACCATTGCAGTCATCCCATCTCTATGTACCAGATGTAGCCAATGTTTTATTCAAACAAACCATCGTTGAATGATCCACTCATAGATTGTGTTACTAACTGTGAAATTATATTTCCTTCGGCTTTTCTTGGTAGGACTAGTACAGGTTATATTATATCAAAGATGCTATTATAGTTGACAATAACTTCAACAAACTTTAGGTTTAGCATATTTAAAAAGTTTATAAACTCAAATTATTAATTAACATCAGCACGCTCAGTTATGGTTAAATTCAATCCCATAATTTTTATTGAACTGACCACACCTAATGTCTAAGGTTTCGAACCATTCTTCATCCTGTATTTCATAACAGAGAATCTTTCTTTTTAGTAAATTCAATACAATGCATTCGCTAAAACAAACAACTCTGTTATAGGGCACTTCCTACTCCAGACCTTCCGGGCCGGAGGCTGGTCCTGAAGCCGCTCCTATGGCCGCTCCTCTGGCCGCTCCTGTGGCTGCTCCGGAGGCCGCTCCGGAGGCCGCTCCAAAGGCTGACCCCATGGCCGAAGCTTTTGCCAAAGCGTTGCCTGATGCTTCCCCTCTAGCCGATGCTTTTGCCAAGGCCTGGGCCCATGCTTTTGCCAAACCCAAGCCCAAACCCAGAGCCGACGCGTACTCTCACGCCGACGCCATCGCCGCTGCCGTTCCTCAGATGGAGATGCTTGTTGGAAACCTCCAAGCGGAAATTGAATCCATTACCCCCATTATCAAAGCTCTCGGCCAGCTCTTTGAGGCTATTGCTTAGAATGGATTAAGACTGTAAATTTATAAATATATTGTTATAAAGATATTCTGGTTTCCTGCTCATTTTACCTGGATGGTAGTTTGGACACTACTTGTTAGTCTGAAATACTCATAATAACAATAAGGAATACAGGGGTGGGTGCTGAGCTATGCTATGATTACATCCGTATATTACATAAACTTCATGTTGTTATCCTGATAATTTCGCCACTCTCCTAAAGGCTCGGACTGGCCAGGTCTGCAGGACCGCGATTGCAAAGGGCCCCAAAGAGGCAGGTGGAATTTAAAGAACAAAATAGGATTTCAAATTCAAACTAAGTAAAAGTAAAAGAGAGTAAAAGATGAGAGTTTCTCTGTAGATAGTGCGTGAATGTAAAATTTTGTGTATTTTTAGTGGATTTGATATTGAGTATATTCATGACTAAATATTTGTATAATCAAATACTGATTAATATCGTCTTCGTCTTGTTAATATTATTTTTCTAAACCCTAAAATCGGTGTTATTTTTACTACTGGAACACAAACAATTATGACATTAAATATCTACAGTGTGCTGTACTTTGGTATGAACAAAATAGGCTACTACAATTATTTTGAGCTCCGTTATAATTGGTACTTTTACAGCAAGTGTATTGCATTCTTGCGGTATCCTAAAAATAAGCGAATTCCTTAATTTAATAAATATTTATGTCAAGAAAAATAAAAACCCTTATATCTGTAAAAACCTTGAATAAAATTCTTCTTCTTAATATGTGCCAAAATAGTAAAATATAGTACAAAAACTCGTTTCCATAAACACCTATTTTTTACAAATAATCCGAATTTCCCTGTTGGGCCTCTACATGAGGGCCCCAAATGGCCCCAGTCCGGGCCTGACTCTCCATCCAACATCCGACAAAGCAAAAGACACACATCCAACAAAGCGCAACCCACGAAACAAAAACATCCAACAGCAACAAAACACACAAAAAGGTAAAGACAAAAAATTAAAATAGACAATATAGAAATAATAATATAGATTATTATAGTTGTGTTGAAGTGGTTACTTCAGTGCAGTATAGTTTTTGAAACGCAAAATAATGACAAGGACAAATCTTTTTTTAATATTGGTCAGCAACTAAAAAAACCTGATACTTAAGTACCCACTATAAGACTAGTTGTATAATATTTAGTTTTCATAGTATTGGTAACCTGAAATAAAATTATTTATTATTTGAGGTATAATTGTGACTAGTCTAAGGTACCTGGGTCCACTTTCCCGTAAGTGATGCAAACAAAGATAAGGATTAGAAATATATGTATTATAAAGAGTTTTCTCTCATTTTGGCCCCATATAATTTACGTAAAAACTATATGTGACAAAAAAAAACTATCTACAAGGAACTGGTGATCTCTTCCACCTGAGCAAAACATGTAACCAGTTCTCTACACTGATGATACCTGTCAAACCAAGACAACAAAATCTTGGGATTTCCCCGGTCTTCATCTTCATTTCTCATTTGTGCCCAAGCACAAGAATTTAACACTGTTTAACACAAGAATCTGTATTGAATGCTTTATCTAATATTTAAAGAATGTGTGGTTTGTAGACTTTGTAGTTCCATCACGGCTATAAATTGTTTTTGGTCTAGAAAAGCTGAAACAATTTGAATTACTTCATCAAGCAGTCATTAGGCAAAAGCCTCCTCACACTAAAACAATCCACTAAGCCAGCTAACTTATGATTTTTTTAAAGAAGTGATAACCATTCTTCAATAGCAATAATTGTTCACCTTTTGACCTCCTGATAGACCTATAATTTATATGATATTCTTGTTATGCCACGAGAGTTAGTAGGCCTTTTGATAGCTCTCCGGTACTCCGGTGATGAATGAGATGTGGAGAATGGTTGAGGAAAGAAGCGGCTTACATTACATACTCAAATTCAATCTTATGGCGTAAAGATCCCCAGAAGAGAACCAGTGAGTTATCCAGCTATCTGAAGAATCTATAGTGATATTTTAAAAATGTTTGAGTTCAATAATTAAAAGCTCAATTTAAACTGTTAAGAGTTTAACTAAAATTTAAGTGGTTAGAGCACGGGGCTTCAGTCCCTGAGGTCCCGGGTTCAAGTCCTGCCAGTTCACCAATGGACTTTATCTAAGTGATAATGCCGCAACCCCTAGAGCCTGAAATAATGTGAAAAAACAGTCCCGGGCTCGTGCCTAGCGTCCTAGGACAAAAAAATTATTTATTTACATTATTACCAACAGCTTACATCTCCTGTTTAGAGGCCACCCTATTGTGATACTGGAAACTGGAATGGTTTCAGATAAAGTGAAAGGACATAACTTAAAATAAAATTTTAAAAATAAACATGATTGGTCATTTTTTTTCAAAAATATGTTTTACTCTATCTCTCCGAAATGATCTGGTGAAACTGACACTCATTAATGGTTGCAGGGTTCTTGCTTCGCAAGGCCTGCAGGACCAGAAGCTGAAGCCAATCCAAAACCAGAGCCTATGCCAGAGCCTATGCCAATGCCCATGCCAGCACCTAAACCAAAACCAGGGCCTTCTCCAGAAGCACTTGCCCTTGCTCGGTCTCTTGCTGATGCTTTGGCTGCAGCAACACCTGAAGCCATCCTGAATGCTTTACCAGAGCCGGTACCTAAGCCTTTAGCCAATGCTGTGGCTTTCGCCCACGCCATTCCAGCAATCAAAGAGTTTGCCAACCTTTTTAAAAATGTGTTTAAATAATTTGTATTTTTGTAAAACATTAAGTTGTGTTTCTAATGTTATATATTTTATTGAACACAATAAAGCTATTTTCCTTTTAAAAATTTGGACTTTTTCATGCCATTGTACACTTAAGTAAAAAATTTTATATAAATCTACCATGTATTATACAACTGTTGTGTTTACCTTCAACTATCATGGAGAGAACTAGACCAACGATCATATAAGATCTAAATAGAAAATTTAATTGTCCGCCATTTTATATTGGTGGAACTTGGAAATCTGATACTTTGTGCAAAGATTAGTCTTATCATTTTCACTACTTATTTACAGTACCAAGTTAAAAGTCCTTCTCTTTAGGGGGTGTACGAAGTTATAGGTACCCTACATTAAGTGTATTTTGTAAAAATCACCTACAGACAAGACTGAAATCCAGGCATTTTTTTACTTTAGGTGCTTGAAGTCTATTTCGTTGACCGAATGATGTTAATCGGTATGACCGTGTCAAATTGACTCAAATACTAAAATGCTAAAATTACTAAAAAATACTGATGTTTTGACCTAAGGAACAAATACAAGTCTTTCCAGGGAGTTTGTGCACAAAATACTGGGTGTTCAATGAAAGTGGGGATATATTTTAAATAGAGTTAAATTAAGCAAAAAGGTTTTTATAAACATATGCCTTATCCCGGTACCTTTAGTGTCTATCCGTCTGTATGTGCTTTTAACAAAAACTCCACAATGTTTAGACAATAGACAACATTCATTATTACGTATTCATTGAGGTACAGCATCATATTTACAGGTGGATTAAAGATAGAGAAATTCTGCAAACATGTTCATCCTATTAGTGCTCTTTGTTCAACCAAAATATGAATAAAACTCTCAAACTATTTCAAAATGGCGGGTATTTTAAATATTTTATGCTATTTTGAAAGGGTTATAAACGTTTCAAAACGTTGATATATAATTTCTCGTACAAAAAGAAAGACAAAAGTTGTTCTGAATGTATGTCCGACAACGCATATTTATCCTGATAATCGTTATTCTGTTTTTTATACATACACATTTTTGTCCTTGAATTTTTCCAACTTGGTCCAAATTGGTTTAAAAGTTGGTCCGATTTCAAAATCGCGGTGTCAAAACCTTTGAAATACATATGAAGTTTCATAAAGATTGGTTGGATCTATTTACTTTCTTTTTGTATGAAGAATCATGTTTCAAAGTCCTAAAATATTTTTTGGACATTCTGTATATTTACAGTTAAAATTAATGAGGTAAAGACAAATTTAACACTTTTTAGATGAAAAGAATATGAAAATTATAGAAGAAAACAAAACACAAGAGATGACTCATATAAATGAACTCCTGGAACTTAGCAGCAAGAGAGGTGAAACATGGTGGTGGCGTCCAAATACTGGGATCTCACTGAAAATGGGTGAAATGTTCCTAGAAAGATTCATGTGAGGTACTGTGGCTTCGGTGACTGCCGACCAGCAAAAACACATATGTTTTACTAATTTGCACATCCAGAGGAAAAAAGAAGATAGAAATAGAAATATGAATGTGGAACTCTCTTGTGAGGTTACCTCTGAAAGAATACTAAAAAATGGCTAGAACTGCCAATATGGATGGGATCTACTAATTTTATAAAATTCAAGGAAGGTCTGAAAATTCAAATGGAAACGCCTATGCAGCAAGCTTAGAATGGATGTGGACGAATTTCAAAACAGGAACCAGGCAGTTTACCTATGACCTATTTAGGTTGGACCATTTACAATGGAGGAGTGATAGGAAAGAGATGAAATTATACTACTATTTCAACCTTGAACTTTGTGTCCATATGGTGCACTTCTTACATTATACAAAGGCTTCTTAGACAGTAAAAACACACAAAAGAAATAAAATTGTGAACACTGCAGTATTGTGCAGTAATTGTGAATTGGCTGTTTTTAGTGGTATACCAAATAGATGTTCTAGTTTTAAAGCTCCACAAAAATATGTTTTAACAAAAGGTGTTGACTCCAGAGTCTAAAGACGGTTAAAGTCAAGAACTTAACTAAATCCCAAGCTCGGAAACCCCTTAGAGCCTTATTCTAGTTTGAGTAACACAAACCTGTAAAATCTACCTAAACTTACCTTAACCTTACTGTTGAGACACTTAAAACTCCAATACGGTTCCCATTCTTCTGAGGTTATTTATGGTTTGATAATTAAAAGTTACGATTTGTTGCCTTCTCAAAGGTTGCTTTCCATTCTGGTAACCCTTCTCAGTGTTTTTATGGCATCCTCTTTTCTCCATGCATGACCTGCACAACACAAACATAACAGCTAAAATTGCTGGTGGAGACAAGAGTAAATGGTTAGTTGCTTTAAGTTTTTAAGCCATAAGAAAAATATAAATAAACCAAATATTAGTATTTTTAAACATAATCCTTACAAGAATCGTGAATCCAAAAAAATGACCAAGTTTCTCTGGCCACAAAGCAGTTATCACTCAAGTATGAACTTACAACCCAGCTGTACAATATTACAAAAATTATAAGTATAACTTTTCAATGTGCTGTAAATTCGGAAAACAAACTATTGAAATCTTATCAGCCGTGTGACTGTTGCAGGGTTCAGCCTTCTCCAGACCAAGTGGTCCGGAACCTGGGTCATCTGGTCCAGATGCTTCCCCCTCCCCAGACGCTAAGCCCGAACCTGCTGCAAAACCCTTCCCGCTAGCCAATGCGTTGGCACATGCCGTTGCCGAGGCCACACCAGCTGCTATAGCCAAAGCCATCGCCAAAGCAATACCTGATCCTAAAGCCATACCGGGACCAATGGCCAATGCCATAGCTTTTGCACAAGCAATCCCTGCTATTGAGGAACTTTTCCAGCTGCTGCTTGCGAAACTCGCTCCATACTTGGCAATGACACTTTGAATGTTTGTAGTACAAAGTGCTAGTTTTATAAAAAAATATAGCTTTCCTAAAGAGTATAGCATTTGTTTTGTACATACTAAAAAATATTAAATAGTTTAAAATATAAAAATTGTTCTTCTTTTACCTTTATTTTTTGGAGTTGTATTTATTACTTTATAATGTGTGGTAAAAATAACCTAATCAAAAGATTGCGGAGTTGTTAGTAACTGTCCAGAACTGTTGTCAAGAGGAGAATCTTTAGGTTCCTTCAATACAGCTACATTTGGCAAGTAAAATCTTGTTTTAAAGACTACTCTTTTTCCATATTTAAGTTAATACAACCATAATTTATGGGTCTTCCCTTGCCATTTTTTAGCTTTGGAGATCCTCGTAATTTTATATCCAAAATAAACAACATTTCCATGGGTAAATGGAAACACAAACAATCAAAAGCATCATAAAAATTAAGCTTACATAAAATAAATATTTACTGAGAAAATTTTTGAGATTTTTTAAAAACAATTTTCTTATTGATAACATACGCCAAAATGACTTAAATGGGTTGAAACATTGGAGGTCCTTCAGCCACAAAATAAAGTAACAATACAAATTAATTTTTGCTTCAAATCAAACATTTTGGTTGAGTAGCTCCATACTCCGTCCCTCTTATATAAATTTATCATTCTTAAAGTTCAGCTAAAGACAATTTAAATGTACGTTTATTTGTACGGCCCCTGATAATCAATCTACGATTTGATATCAGTAGTGTATGCAGACTCGGTTTCATACTATATGCACCAAAATGTGGGTAGGAACAACTCACAACCCCTAATTCAAGTGGATACTGTACTCTAATCACTTATAGGATTAGAGTGGCTGGAACTCATGGGATATGGCTTTGTATTGGATTTTGACAAAATAATGCTGGCAACCTTGCCAAGGACATATACAGTTGGATTACAGTAACTGGTAACTTGTGACTTACACTTGGTAGTATAATAGACCCAAATATCTCTTGTCGAAGGCAATACCTGCAATAATGGATTTTGCTTTTACCCATCGTGAACTTCCTAAAACACCTTTGATTGGTTTAGTAAATCGAAACATAATTAACAAAACCAGATTTATTCAACTCACAATTCAGACTAAACAAAAAAAATAAACGAAAACATAATAATATAAACAGTCAACTGGCAGATGTTATAAATAACACAAAATCTATATTTTACCCTTATATATAATACATGAAGTCAATTTCTACAAAACACTACTACCAATGCTACTACTCTGTTAATAATGGACGGATTTTTACAATTGATGTTTCAAAATTAAGTATTGTTTGTGTAGACGCCTCCTTTCACCAATTCCTGTAATTAAAGTCCTCAGGCTTTACCCCACACGCCATCAAAATCCCAATGTATTATGAAGAAAAGATTTTTGTTTACTTAAACAGACAAATAGTTTGTATTTATTGAATACTAAAACAGCCGTTCATAGCAAAACACATTCAGACAAGATTATTCATTTCCAGTTTGGATTACTGGAGTGGAGTGATTGATTTTTTTATTGATTTTTATTGATTATTGATTGATATTGACATTATCTTTGAGTTGACTCTAAAAGTCATCGGAAATAATGACTGTTATTCGTTTTGAAATAAAGCTGGTAAAAATCACTGTCTGCCACGGAGATGAATTGGCACATGATCCATGATAAATAATTTATTTTATGGTACCTATTTATTTTTTCATAACCATCATTTCAAAGGGACCCCCCTTATATATAGGCCCCTGCCAATACAGAATCATTTCTTTAAATTTCCTCGGAGATGACTGTTGGTAATTGTGAAGTGCTCTATCCAAGATTTTTTCGTCTCGTTAAATTTTCAGAACACATCATACTGTAGCTCCAGTCTTAAGCAAAATAGTTAATTAAAGTTTTTCAACTGAAGAATTTCTTGATAAGCTCAAATTTTCAGAGGTGAAACCTATTTTCAAAAAAGGATAAAAAACAAATATACAAATGTATAGACCTTTTTCTCTACTTAGTAATCTTTATAAAATATTTGAAAAATGTATTCACCATTGCATAACTGATTTTTTGGAAAATAATAATTTACTGTCGCCATCTCAATTTGGCTTTAGAAGAAATCATTCAACAACCTTGGCTCTCACTAAATTTGTCAACTCAGTTTCGGAGGCCCTGGATGGATCGCAGAGTTTTGTGGGGGATTTCTGCAATCTGTATAGGGCTTTTGATTGTGTGGACCATCAACTTTTAATCTAAAAACTAAAAAACATTAATATAGGAGGAAAGGTTTTCACTTAAAAACAGGAAACAGCGCACAGTAATTTACAAACAGAACAAATGGTTTTTGTCCAGATGGGATGGTGTCCATTATGGCGCACCTCAAGGCTCTATTTTAGGGCAATTACTATTTTTCATTTTCATTAATGACCTTGATTCAAATATAACATCCGGTAGTTTATTTCTGTACGCTGATGATACCAATTTTGTCGTAAAAAACAGTGATTTTTAGCAATTAGCAAAATCAATTAAAACAACTGTGGATGAACTAAAAAATTGGTTTTACAAAAATGGTCTTTAAATGAATGATTCTAAAACCCACTTAATGTACTTTAAAATTAGAAACTGTGAAAAAAATTAGTTGGAGAATTTATCTTGTGGAGAGCTCAAATCAGTCAATACCCACAAGGTTCTAGGAATACACTTTGATTATAAACTAAATTTGAAAAATCATATTCAATATCTGTCCAAAAGTTAAATTAGTTTAGGTTTGCACTAAGTGTAATTGTTAATACAACATCAATGGATGTATGTAAAATTGTATACCACGCCTACATCGAATCAATAATTAAAAATAGAATAGTACTTTGTGGATGTCATCCCCAAACAAAATTCTTTTTAACGCTAAAAAATCAATAGGATTTTGGCTCGAGTTAAAAGAAGAAAAAGCTGCAGATCTTTATTTAAAGATAATTGGTATCTTAACACTTATAAATCTTTACATAATAATATAATTGAAATTGTTAAGCTATGTTTAATCATATTAAAATTTTTTATGACATTTAACTATACCTTCCAACACGACATCAGAGCAAATTGAAATTTCCTCGGCATGAAAATGGCAACACTCACCAGCCTGTATCTTGACTTAAGCAAGGCTTTTGATTCCTTGGGACATGATCTTATTCTAACTAAACTTCAAAATTTTTTAGGAATCCAGCGAACAGCTCTGAAATGGTTTGCAAGTTATCTAGAAGGGCGAAGCCAAATGGTAGAAACAAAACACACAACAAAAGGGTTTACAGATACTGTCAGATCTGAACTGCTACCGACTAACAGAGGAGTTCCCCAGGGCTCTGTCCTAGGGCCAGTTCTGTTTGGGCTGTTTATTAATGACTTCCCGGAACACCTTGAGGAATACAGCAATATGGTCATGTATGCAGACGACACTGTGCTGCTTACAGCAAACAGAAACGTAGGTCAACTAGAAGTAAACACCTATATTGCTTTCAATATGACACAGGACTACACTGTATGAAAAATGACTTAGTCCTCAATGAAAGTAAAACCAAGCAAATGACTTTAGGAAATAAAAAGGCTACAGTATCTGAAATGCCCAACCTGATAGCAGCTGAAGAAATCAAACATCTATAGGTGTCATAATTGACGGAAATTTATCCTGGGATCGTCATGTAGCTTGTCTTTGCCAAAAACTCGGGCCAGCTCGCTTTGCCTTAAAACAAATCAAAGAGACTAGTACCCCTGAGGCAACGAGGACTGCATACCATACATTGTTTGAAAGCCATGTATGCTATGATATTACTGTCTGGGGTGGATCGACTATGGATAATCTTAACCGGGTCCTGGTTATGCAGAAAAGGGCTATCAGAATAATAGCAGGCTTAAGTAGAGAACAAAGCCGTAGAGATGCCTTCAAAAACCTGAACATCCTGACGTGACTTCCATTACTGTGTAACCAAAGACCCGCCTAAACAAAGAGATATACATGAATACAACACCAGATATGCAGGAAACTATGTGCTGCCTGGCCACAGAACAGCAACGTTTGAAAGGAAACCACTGAATGCAGGAGTGAAGATGCTAAACAAGCTACCAGACCACTTGAAAATTGGAGGCCCTGTGCTGATGAAGAGGAAGCTCACGAGATGGCTGCTAGGCAAAGCTTTCTACACCCTAAAGGAGTTATTTGCATGGCAAGACCACACACAACACTGAAGAAGCTTTTCCATTTCACTTTGTATCTATTATACCAATGTTATTTATTTAAATTTTACGCTGTAACATTTCTTGATGAAATTGTAATAAAGGAATTGTCTATTGTCTATTTATGTTGAGTTTATCAAGGCGGCCCATTTCTTTTATTAGTTGTCCTTTTTCCGATACTATCTTACTCCTTTCATTTTCCAGTTGCAAAATAAACTCTTCATAAGTTTGTATTTCTTGTTTCATTTTTGTAGTTAGTTTTTCTCGTAGGGCTTGTTCCATACTGAAGTTTTTGCCACAGCCATCGCATGAAGAGGGGAGTGTACAGGAGTTTTCCGCATCTTAGGGCAAGAGCATCCCTGAATTCCAGTGGAGAAAGATCTAAGTTTAAATACATTGTTATCTTTCAGGAACAAAATTTTTCAATCTTACAATCTTTTGGAAAAGTTAAGTTTAAGAGCAAAGAAAAGCGCTGTGTGTAACAGCACTATCAACTTCTACTCTCAGACAATTTCACAAATAAATCATTTACGTGTTATCAATCTTTACATTGATTATGCAGGAAAACGTTTACATCACTATGACAAGACATTTGTTTCAGTTGCCATGGTCTGAAGCTGATGTGCTGCCAGACCCTAGACCCAACCCCAAACCTCGAGGCATCCCTCACCCCAAGGGGGCACCCCTGGCCGATCCTGTCGCCAAACTGAGGGCTGTTGGAGAGAGTCTTGCTAATGCTATTCCCAAAACTTACGCACTCGCCATCGCTCAAGCACTCCCTGACCCAAATATTTACTCTTTCATTGTTGAAATTTTAGCCAATCTCCTTAATGGTTTTGGGATGCTTGCTTTGTGATCAAATGTAAAGTGTTGGACCCTTTTAGCTGTTGGTTAATATTTTAAATAAAAACTGATAAATTTTGTAGTGCTGTATTTTTTATCTGAACAATTTGAACACATTAAGTTAAATTGTCTCATCCTCTTAATCTGTGTAAGATACAATTTCCAATTTCAACACATGAACTACGGTATCTCCTGTAAATTACAATCACTTTCATATATTTTGACAAAATTGATGATAGTATAAAAATTTTCTAAAAAAAAGCAGTGCTCAATTCCTAAAAAACGAGGTAATGAAACTGTAACCTTTAATGTGATTAGTATCTATGCCAATATTTTTATCTTTCCGAAAGAAAGGTACCGGAACTCTGTTCCGCCACGTTCTACCGCAAATCGAGCACTGTCTGTCTCGAGATTAAATCTGAGACATACCCTGTGTTTTAGACAGATATTCCATGCAACTTGAGAATAGAGGTGGTTCTATCAGCACCAATTAAAGATCAAAATGTTACACTTTCAATAAATGTATATTTTCTTGTCATAAAAAAAAATCCATATGTACAAGTGATTTATTGTCAACTGGCTCAGAATTTGGTTACCAAGCCAGATTTACACGATGCCAGTAGGTAAGACGATTGTCAGAAGACAACTGACTGGCATGAAATTGCTGGCTTCGTGTAAACACTTCAGGCCAACTGCCCTCACAATCGCAAACACAGTTGTATCCGGGAGTAGACTGAAGACAACAAAAGCAGCATAACAGGCCTCCGACAAAGATCCCGCAATAACAATAATTGGTGAAGACAACTGTCTCACCAACTAGCATCGTGTAAACCCGGCTACAGTTCTGAAGTTGACCAGGAACTGCAGGAAGGTCAGTATATAGTTTCTAACCATGGGGGAAAGGAAAATACATAGGTGTGCTATTCCTTCATATGCTGACGTCACCGAGATTGCAAACAAAAGATCACCTGCTTGAATTGCCATATAAGTATATGTTTGTTTTGATTTCATTGTTATTGTTTTTATTATTTTTTCTAAATGGTGAAATGGTGTTTGCAATCTGGGTGACGTCAGCATATTACGGGATCTGGCACCCCTATGTATTTTCCTTCCACCATGGATTCCAATAATATTTTTGCCTTATAGCAACCCAGTCACCTACTTCTAGTGAATTTTAAGTTACTAAAGCCGCGTTTACACAAAGCCATAGTTTGCGAGCAGGTTACCTGCCTCAGGTAACTTGAAATACACTAGAGGCAGGTAACCTGCCTGCTTCGTGTTAACGGGACTTTACATTAGGAACAAGGTGGGTAGTTTCCTTAAATTGTAATGTTGTTCCTCTAACATTGCCAAGCTTTAGTATTAGAATTATTGGAATTTTAATGCTTTTGAATTGGTTCAAAAAGTATCAAAGGAAACATAAAATGGGATTGATTTGTGCAACAGGAAAATCATCTGTTTTACTTGATTGGAAATAACACAAACTCTTCAATAAGAAGAAGATGTACACAAAAATGCACGTGCATTAGGGTAAATACTTTCATTAGTTTTTTTTCACTGTTAGCTTGTTATCAGTATTATATGGTCCTAGTCCTTATTGATAACTTACTGTACACCCCATTCATAAAATAAAATTTTAATTTGGTAAAGTATTACTTTGTCTTTGTTGGCCATTGGCAAAAAAATATATATGCAAGAAGATTTTTTTAGGATTAAATTTATTTATCACACCTTCCAACAAAATAACCACAGCAATCAAAAAGGTTTATTTTACAAAGTAAAGTAAATTCCCTGTCAACAAAAACTAATTTCAATCCTAAAATGGTCAATCATTACACCAAAGGTTATTTTAGGACATACAAAATTCGGAGATCCAAAAAGTAGGAAAGAACAATTATAATACATGTACAACAAATGTACATGTAAGTGTGGACTTTGATTACCTAAATTGTGTCTTGGAATATTTTTTTATTGTAACAAAAGATAATCCAGATATTACTAACGATTTTTTAAAACAAGCATCAGTAACTCTAGTTCAATAGTTCAACTTAAATTTTAGTCTTGTAGAAAGTCTCATTCAATGCACATCAACAATGCTGTGCAAGTAAAATAATATAACCAATAATTTTTTTACCTAACACAAATCAACCATCACTCATTAATTTTACTACAAATTTTGTTTCAGGTGGCCAACTGTTATCCCGTAGCTAATCCTGCTCCTCAGGTAGGAGGTCTGCTGAGTCTGGTGGAGGATCTACTCGGCAGTATTCTCCAGAAGCTGTTGGGAAGTCTAGTGTTGGGTCTCGGAGGAAGGATCTTAGGAGGAGGCAACGGACAGCCAGAGGGCTCCGGGAAAACACCCTGTCAACTATGCGGAGATGTCACTTCAGTTCAAGTCGTTGAGGTACCAGCTCAGTTTCTACCCCCACCCATCCTCCCTGTCTTTGGCTGATTGATTGGATTATGAAATAAAAGTATTTTATTTGTAAACAACATTTATTTTTATCCATGTTTGCCTCCTGGATTGATAATGAGTAATAATAATAATAATAGTTTAAATACCTTGTTTACGTCCTCAATCCAAGTCGTATTTTTATAATGACTATTTTCGGGGCCAACAGCCCCATTGTCAAATTTTCTGTCTTGTTAAATTACTGTTAATAGCATTGGTCATCATTGAAGTTCACATATATACGTACACTGACACATTTATATTTACACGTAACATTGAGAATTTATACTTTTGGCCGGCCTAAACAAAAGTGATTATATCGTTGTGCAGACCGGTACACTGACTAAGTTTATATCAGTAGTTATTTCAATACATCTTATTCTGACGAGCAATTTTTGCATCATTTTTTTATAGTAAAAAATATTCCAGGAAAAATAACAAAAGAGTACTTTTTTTATAATAATTGAGTTGATTAATACATGGTTTAAATATTAAAACATTTATCAAAAATATCTTTATTATAAACTTTACATAAATCATAATCTATTTTTCCTTCTTATTGAAAACTTGAGATGAATTGGATTAGCAGGAGTAACCACAATGCACCTCTTGTCTATTTCAATCGGAACTCTTTGCTTTGGACTGGGATGGACACTAAAATTATAAAGTATAGTCGCTAGTCCTATTTTTATTTGCAGTAGACCAAAACTTCTCCCTAAAGAATCACATTGAAAATTAGTAACATCAAACACAATTTAAAAGTCTATACTGGTTGTATAGATTGTATTTCCAGTATTGTTTTGTATTTTACAAATCTTTAAAATTCTATAAATAAACATCATAGCTTTCAAAATGAAGGTTGTATTCTAATAGAGTGAAAGTTCTCCTTAAAAGAGAGACCCATTAGTTAAGTTGTTTGCTTGATAGTTAACCTCCGAACTACCAGGTTCAAATTCAAAGCTATACTTGTTAGTGTTTTGGACCTGTCCTCCAGAAGAAGGAAAGCCCTAGCACTGCTAGCAGCACCTCCATTTTGTTATGCAGAATAAAACAATAATACTTGTAATATTATACTGTAAGTAAGTACTATACTTGCGAAAATGATTTGAAATTGCTCAATTAAATTTCAACACACTAACACCAAGTATGGTAGGAGTAAGATATGACTGATCGCACAGAAACAATTAACTTACCAATGCAATTTCTTGGGCCTTCTCCAAACGGAAGGAATACGAATGGCCGTATATTTTTAGTATTTTGGACAGAAAATCTATCAGGGTTGAAAATGTGTGGCTCTGGAAAGTATTTAGGATCATGATGGAATGAGTAAGTAGGGATGACTACTCTAGTGCCAGGCTCCAGTACTACTTTAGACTCAGGTATCCTGTAAGACTTGGTACATGTCCTGATCAGAATCTGTCCCGAGCCATACATCCGTAGAGTTTCTGGAAAAGAGTTAACAGAAATCAACAAAAATTGCTTTAAAAATAATGTACATGTATTTTACAAATCATACTTAAAATTAAATGTCAAACAATTCTTAAGTTACCAGCTTGTATATATTTAGATAAAACAAGAACTAAATTAATTATGTTCACAGTTTCATAGTTTTTTGTCCCTCCTCAGTTTAACAATATTTGTATCAATGTTAATAGACAAAACGTTGTACTTTTAATAGGGCTAGTATATCCAAAGGAAATATTAAATATAGTAGTGTTTAGACTTTAAATATTCCAAAATCAAATGCATGTCTTAAAATATTGTGTAGGCAAATATTTTGTATTTGTTGATGTGACGTTTGCATTCACAAATTTAAAAATAGCACCATGAGCCTATTATGCTAATTAGAGTACCATACCGATATTGAAATTATGAAAGTATTAATGATTACAAACACTTTTGGTAAGTACCCATTGACGAAACACATACCATTGACAACTTGGTCCATGTAGGTCATTTCCTGAAGAGCCTGATATGTTATTTGGCCTTGGTGTTTATTAACAGATGCATCCACCTCTCTACACAGTTTTTCTTGGATGTCTTTGTTTTGGGAGAGTTCAAACAAGCAGAAAGACAAAACTGATGTATCGGTTGTGTAGCCAGCGATGAAAAACACAAAAGCTTGAGCTGTAATTTGTTCTATTGTGAGACCTAAAGATGGAAAAACAATGAAGGGTGAAAGTTTGTAATCTTTGAGTATTCTCACTACATGTTTCATAGTAAACAATATTACTGTAAAAGTAGATTAGAAAATATATTTTGAAAATCCCTGTTATACTTCAAAACAACAACTACGTAGGTTACCGGTACATTCAACAAATTAGGAATTGGTAACGCAACCTTCACTCAATCTATGCATAAATAAACACTTAATAAATGGAATAAAATCCTCCAAATGTACAATTTCAGATGTGACAAATAAATAATATAAAAAGAATAGATGTACGTATATTAAATACATCATGACATGTTTTTAATAATTTGTCGTAAGTTAAATACAGGGTTAAATACTGAGGTTTGCCGGAACACTCAACCAAAATTTTAGAGCATTGTTCCTGAGTAAGAAACATATCTAAATACCATATTTAAATTTTTTGGAAGTCCTTACTTACTCACACAGCTGCTAATTTTTTTTTTTACTTATTAATTTTTTCTAAAGAATGGTTAAACATACAAAATGGAAACTTTGCACAAACATTTATGACAACTAGACAAAGCTACCAAAAAATTATGAAAATTTTTCAAATTCAGAAACCAAAATTGCGGCCATTTAAAATTTATTTTTTAAGTAGCTCAAAAACAGTTGGTTTTACAAGAATATCTTTTGTAAGGAAATTTCATTACAAATTGATTGACACCTTATTTTTAAAGATTGGACAAGTATTAACTGAGATATGGCTGTTTTAGTGATTAGTGACTGATGAAGGTTAGTTGCAGCGCATGCTGAAAGCGGTTACGTATCACTGAAGTTGCCATATCTCAGTTAATACTCTTTCAATCTTCAAAAATAAGGTGTCAATCGATTTTTAAGGAAACTGCCTTAAGAAAGTTATACTTGTAAAATTTGTTTAAAATCAACGGCTTTTGAGTTATTTAAGAAACAAAACTTTAAATAGCTGCCATTTTGATTTATGAATTAGAAAAACCGTCATAATCTTTTGGTAGCTATGTCTTGTTGTCAAAAATGTTTGTGCAAAGTTTCAATTTCGTATGTTTAACCATTCCTTAGAAAAAAAAGTTAATAACTGAAAAAACAAAAATGGCGGCTGTGTGAGTTACTAAGGACTTCCGGACAGTTTAAAAATGATATTTAGATATGTTTCTTACCCATCAGGAGCAATGCCGTAAAATATTGGTAGAGAGTTCTGTGACACCCTGTATATTTAAATCAAATTCAATTTTAGCTGTAAAAAGTACCTTACCTTCAACAGTATTTTTACTACGTGATTGAAGTTTCTCTTCACTGTATTTATGACTATTTATCCTGGTTTGAATCAAAACATCTAGAAAGTCGTTCCGCTGCATTTTGTACTTTTCCCGGTGTTCTACACTTTGTCGCACAACTTCAGTCAACATGCTGGTCACTTCTGGTGGAATCAACTTTATTGGAAATATCTTTGCAAAACTTGGGAAAAAATTAATTATAAATCTTCTATAAAACCTTCCTTTGGTGGTTTTAAGCAAGGCTCCAACTGTGTGGAAAAATGTACAGTTTTGATCAGTAATGCTGTCCGTTTCCAGTCCAAAAGCACAAGAAGCAATCACGTCCATTGTGAATCGAGCAAAGACATCGGTGATTTCCACTGATTCATTGTCTTGAATTGCTCCGAGAATAAAATCTACCATTCGATTGCTACAGCTATTCATCAGCATGAAGGTAGTCTTCATCTTGGCAGAAGAGAATGCAGGAGTCAGCAAACCTCTCATTTCCTTCCATTCTTCACCATTCATGTTTATAACATGTTTAAGAATGTATTCCGAAGGGTTTGCACCAATGTATGTCCTGACAGAGAAACAATTAAAATCCTTCACCATTATTGCCTTGACCAGATCTGGATCTCTTAGAACAAGAACTGGATTTTGAACTTCAATTATGCCGAAATATCTTTCACTGGGGAATTCTTTGTACATTTTATCGTAGCCATCTCCAATAAAGGTTCTTCCCAACACAAGATCTTTTGTTGATCCAAATGGAAACGCTGGTGGTTTGTATGGGACTCCTCTGTCCTTCCAGTAATTATAGTGCTTTGTCAAGTTTAAGTAAATCTTTAGAATGAAAATCAGAAAACATAAAAATATAAGTAGCTCAGTCAACAAAATCATTTTTCTTGAGACGCATATGCGGAAATATTTTGAGTGGTCGAGTAGCAGTATGACACAACCAATAGTACCCCTGAAAAGAATTTTGGTTTGGATAAATAATAACTCAAATTCTTCTACCTAGTTGATTATGATTTGATAATTCACCTGTTTGTAGGAAATTTCTCTCTAATATAGAAGTAAACAAGGAGTTAGGAAGATAGACTAATAAAAGTTATGAAATTTAAAAAGCTCAAATTGACTTGAATTTGAATAAAGATCTTGAATAGATCATTGGTCTACAGTCAACTCCTAATAGTCCAGGAAGCAGTGACTGAAACCTTACTACAGCGGTTTAAGTACAACCATTAAGTTTTTCAGTTTGTCATTTAAAACATTGGAAACTCACTATTAATTAACTTTAACGCAGTGAAACAACTATTACAACAATAATTTTTTAACAATTTTTACTATGTAAAATTATTTCACCAGTAGGGATTCTATCATCTTTCGATAATGGAAATAAAAACCTTGATTTCATTACAGCTCATAAACAACAGATCTATTTAAACAATAATGTAAACACTGATAAAAGAACCTGAACACTACGCAGAACTGAATTGTGATAAAAAAAGGTAAACACACAAGACTGCAACTGTAGTATTGTAACAAACTACATCTAGACTAATTTAAGTAGTACACCTCTGTTTTACAAAAATACCTAGACATTTGTTGGATTTTTGTAAAAATTTCCCAACTTACTTTTTCAAGCGAATTTTCCAAAATATTATACTTCCTCCTCCATATGTAAGAAGTTACTCAGTAAACTGTAAAAAGTTCTAAATGCACATGGACCTAGTTACACAAAACAAAAGCAAACTTGGGAAGTGGATAAGAAAACCAGAGCACAGAAATAGTTACTTGAATGAAGAAAAGACAAACTTATGTAACTTGGATTGTTTAATAGGCTTAATCGTTAAACACAGATAACTTATCATTCAATGACATAATTACTCAGGACGTAATATGCAAAGTAAGATACAACATCTAACATGACATATTGTTTCAAAGTAAGTATTGTTGGTGAAAAATCTTTCAAGGCCATTTCGTGGCCAATAGATACCAACGGTTACCCCTCACTTTGAATTAATGGAGATGAAATATCAATGGACAAGGTGTACAGTTTTTACTCAAAATGAGTACATGGCTGAATTAATGTCTTGAGACTTCTACAATTTAAGTTTTTATTATTTTTTATGTCTTTTTGTGCTATAATGATTTGGGAAATAAAATAAACAGTTTTGATACTGCTGTGATCCAGTATTCTACTAACCTACATAGAAAACTTCTTTTGAGAAGCTCCCTCCATTAAAAGATAAAGGAGAGTTTTAAATAGCTTAAATAGCAAAAAAAAAAAAAAAACATGCATAGCTGCTAAAACTTATCATAGGAATTAAAATTACCTCACTGCTTGAGGTCTATTTATAACTTGCTTTTTCATTTTTCATACTATAACCATGAAACCAGGTAAAGTAAAAACAAAACAAACCTTGTAGTATAAAATTTTATTTTCAATTTTAAAGTTTCTTATTAGATAGCTATATACATCATTTAATTAAGTCAGTCTTAGGGAATTGGTCTCATAAATTGGTACTGGATTATTACATTCTTTCTAAAACTATTTATTAAAGAAAATATTTGGTCCAGTAACTTCTAGTGCTCGACTAGTTAATACTTCAAGTACTGTACTTAATATTGGATAAAGATCAAAATGCATTATGCCTAAACTAAGTGTACCTATATCAAATTAAACTTTTACTACTGGTAACTATTAACTACATACACACAAAGTTATTTATTTGTGCTAGGAAAAGAGCAATTTTATGCTCCAAAAGTAATTTATGTGCTGTAGATACTTGTGCAAAGACAAACGATTAGTGTGTTAGGATGTGTGTTAACGATTAGTGTTACAACTGTAAATTATATTTAAGTCAAGTTCGATAACATCATTTTCATGGTGAAATCTTGTGAAAAACTGGTTAACAAAGTAGACTGTAAATCACAACACTCAGATTCTGGATATGTTTTTGCTTTAGCACCATTTTATATCAAACTGCAAAAAACATTTATTTACAATTTATTTCTTAAGCATCAAAATGGAATATATTAATTATAAATACAATACTTACACTAAATTCAACTACTTCATAACACCTAAGACAATTGTTTCGTTGTATGAATAAATAAACACTAGAGGATAAAATTTTGGAATGATTAACACTTTTTACGTTATGTCCACTTTTGTGTATTTTGTCCCACACTATGCGCTATTCCGCTAAGCCTTAACGTTTACATGAGCCAGTAGAATAGGCAGGTTACCTGCTTCTAGTGTATTTCAAGTTACCTGAGGCAGGTAACCTACCTGCTAACTGGCTTCGTGTAAACGTGGAATTATATTCTCTTCAATTGAGAGGAGCAAATAGGATAGAGCACTACAATCAACTATCTCCAGTTAAACATGCGTTGATAAAGAAATTAATCAAATTATTGTAGATTGTTCATGTTTAAAGATCAAAACAATCAATTTTTTTCCTTAATTGCAACTGACAGATTGAAAACACAAATCTATACTTTAACCAAACACAAACAATAACCCCAACAATTAAATAAATTGAAATAAGATTGCACTGTTTTCCATAACAATAGAGAGGCCAAAGCTTCATAATCATCACCAACAAACAATACAACATTTTAACTTAAATTTTCATTAGTTATTGAACAGTTCAAAACTCTTTACTCAACAGGAACAGTAAACGAGAAACTGATTTAGTGTCTGGGTCTGAGCGCATATGATTCAGCTAGTAGGTATATTTATCAACAAATTAAACAAGCAACCATTGCATTCACATGAAAGGCACACTCCTAGACTTGTGCAATGATGTTAGAATAAATATGCACTATAACGTTGTAGAACTGAGTGTTAAGTTGAAATTTGGAGTTGAATTAAACGCACAGACACAAGAGTAGACACAAACTTAAAACTTAGGCAAAATACTCTTTGGCGAAATAAGAAGATAGAACATGAAGAGGTTTCATCAAAACAGAACAGTATCTTTTAAATGCAAAGAAAATAAATAACACAGTCCATCCTGACCATTTATTCTGACTTCTTATCCTCATCTTTAGTCTTCATGCACTTTTTAATTATTTTCTGGAATGACAGAAGGTAGAAGACACTTACAAGCCTGAGAATGCCCATGAGGATTACCTGTAAAATAGTACCAATGTAATAGTATATTACGTTGCTAGTCCTGAAAATAGGTGTTAACCGGACAAGTGTGGTCGTTCCCGTGTAAGACGAAGTCGAGTGTGGGATTGCCAAACGAGTCCAGTAAACACATTTTGGACGAGTGACGTACGATATTTTATGCCTACTCCTTTAAGCTAAGTTAACAATAAACAATCTTAATTTATACCCACCGACTAAAGGACTAACAAGTAACAATCACTACTCATAACCTCTAAGAGAGGTTAAGTTTTTGTTTATAGCCTCTCATTGTCAAATATATTCAGCTGGTAGTTGTCCGATAAAACCCATTACAATACAGTAGTATGTAATGAAACTCCATGTGATTAAGCTGGTGGCAAACAGCGGTTTTTTTGGACAAAATCCTTGCGTGGGAAGTTCTTTAAAACAGTGTAGTGTGACGTAATAGTATATTTTGTACCTAGGGCTAAAAACGAGGTTTTGCCAGCTCGAGATAATTTTTAAGTTCAAGACGAAGTCGAGAACTTAAATCGATCGAGAGCTGCAAAACCATTTTCAGTCCGTGGTACGAACACTATTTTTCACCACACTACAACTATTCACAATAATAATAATGAAAACTGATAGTCAATGCAACTTTAAGGTTATGTGAAGAAGTAATTTCAGGAATCAGCGAAAATAATAAACAGTTGCTAGGCAACAGTGAAAATTCTATTTCAATGCTATGGATACTGTTTGTGTAATTAATATGCAAGAGGACAGCTGATTTTGCGGCCCCGGAATGTAAAAACCTGCTCGGTCCCCAAATTACGATGACAGCTGGCATGGCCAGCAAAACGTAACTTTCAGCCACCACATGTGTTTGAACAATAATGAATATATTAGGCTGAGAAGAGTGCTCTATTATAAAACACACTCAATACCCTGTCAAAGAACACCTGTGGAAGAATCATACATTACAATAATAGCTCGTGCATCGGTGATAATTACCAAAGTAAAACCTGATGTACGGTGGTGATTACTGCAGTTACTTTTAATAAAAAACAACAAGTATAAAATGTTTAAAAATTATGTTTAAACTCATTGGCACTACATAAAAACATAGGTTGCTGACAAGTGAAAACCGTTATTAAATTAGGTATTAAAACTGTATTTCTAACCGACTATGTATGTTTTAAGTTTTAACATATTCAAAATTAATAAATAAACATTAGTATTACCCTTGCCTCCCAACAAAGTGGGAATACATTTTAGAAGAATAAGGTTCTTTAAAGCTAAACACATTTACTCCCTACCATTGATTGGAACTTCAACTAGCTTAATACAATTGTCTTTGGGTTGATTCAATTTGCTTCACAGACAAAAATTAATAATTTTATCAAAATATCAATTTTTGGCCCATTTTGTCTCAGTTGGTTCATTAGTTTTTGTGATCACCTTCAACAAACAGATAGCCTACACAGACTCCTGTATTTTAAAATATTTTACATTGGGTGGGAAAACTTACTTGACAGAAGAGGTCGATAAGAGAAGTGACAGGGGCCATGCCAGCACAAGTGGTCACCAACATGAAGCCTTCAAAACCAACGGTGCTGAAGAATCTGCCGGCCTACGCAGAAAACAATACCAATTAAATCAAACCAATTTTCAGTAAATGCTCTATTCGATGGAACACTCATAAAGATGCCCCCATCTTGTCAGTTTTAATCAGATCTTTTCATGTTTACTAAGGGTGGGTAGATGAGCCTCTCCCACAGATGGGTGAACTGCTTACAAGTTTCACACCAGTCCTGACTGATGTGGGATTCAGTTTTTTATCAATTATACTCACTGTCTCCTGGTTGGGGACACAGTATGTTACAACCAGTTGGCCATTGATTAGATCTAACCACAATATACAACAAACAACAATAATGGTAAACTTTATCCGCTCCTAAAGCTTATCTTTGTTTGTACATTTGTTGATTGTTTTTGCATGAATAGTTGAATGTGAAGTATTTATCATATTACTCATGATGTACCAATCTATGACTTAACGTGTGAACTAGAATAGTTGAAGTTCACATACAAGAGCATCGTTGAGCAGATGTGTAGCCACTACATCAGGTGACACCAGACCAGCCGACTGACAGATCAGCTTGGTTTCCAAAGGCTTCGTCTTTTCTTCTTCTTCAAAGCCTGGAGTGTCAGTATCAGGCGGGAGACAAACGGTTACCTTCACTCCATGTGCACGAACCTACAAACATTTCAATCTTTTAATCCAAATAAACTTGATCCATTTTTACTCATTTCATAAATGATCCTAAGTTACGAATTTCAATTACCTAACTGATGTCAAAATGTAAAAAAGTGATTGTTTTATATGGCTATCAATAAATAATAACTTTTCAATGTAAGGGTAAAAGAGGCTGCCATCCTCTCAAAAAATACTTTACTTTATTTGATATACCTTTTGATATATTGATATACCTAGCACCTAACTTTCTGGCTCTACAAGGCAGAAGTATTAAAACAAAAATGTCTTCAAAGGTTATAACAAACAGTTATTTTAACACATACAAATCCTTTCTATTTTTAACTACAAGTAGGCCTAATTACAACATAAATTTTTATATGAGAAACTTAAGTAAGACTATTAGGTATATACTATAAATCCCTTAACACTTGAAAGTTAGCCTCCCTATACCTTCTCCACTATGCAAAAGGTTTTAAATTTGAATGAAAGTTCATTCTTCCCAAATAATAACTTTTTGATTATGATTACAGTACTTATTATAGTAAAAACCTCACTAACTTTACAATTTGTGGACCCAGAGGTTGTCAAAACGTTTGGGGGTTGAAATGATCCAAAACATTTAAATTGTTAATTGTTTTTGATAAATTAATAAATAACAGACTAAAGTTTATTAAATATGAGTACATTTTCTATATTGAGTAAATGATCTTCAAAGAAATGTCAAATATCCAACAAATAAATGTTAATGTTCTAAAAATAATATTTTTTTGTGTGCGCCCTGCCTTGTCAGCTGTTGACTGTTGAGTTACACAGAGTTACCGGCTGTCGAGTTAGTGAGGTTGTACCTTTACTATCAATAAGATGGTGAAACTATGGTCCCCCAAACATGTTGGTTGTATTCAAAATGAGGCAGCACTAAAATCAATACAATATTTTGGTCATCTCCAGCGATGTACAACATTCCTTTGAACTATTATATCTTTACCTAAATATTTAATAATCACACCAACTTTGCAGACATATTCTTCTATAGTGATAATCCTGATATGAAATGTCCCTCTATAATTACAAATCAGACACTAAAAATATCAGGTCTTGAACACACCTAGTGAAGAGAGTTACTATAGTTCGGCCGCTTAGAAAGCGACCTCCTCCAGCATTGGTTTGGCATTAGCGCGCAGGTCGTTTTCTAAGCGGCCGAACTATAGCAGGTAACAAAAAAGGTCCTACCTCCATGTCCAAAGCTTCTGCAAATCCTCTGAGAGCAAACTTGGAGGGGCTGTAAGCCGTGAAGCCGTAGACACCGATCATACCAGCCTGGGACGAGGTGATGACGATGTGGCCTTCCTTCCTCTTCTTCATACCAGCAACAACCGCCTTGGTGGGGAAAACTGTGCCGTAGTAGTTGAGGTCCATCATGTACTGAAATCAGAATTACAATAAGAGATATGACAGAGAATTGACAGTGGGTGGAAAGCTACTTATGTTAGGCTAAGTAAATACAAGAAAAAGCTATTTGTACTATCCATAATATTATTTAATAAGCTACCCCTTTTATTTAGGAACATGAACATTAATCAATTTTTAAAAAAAGCTGTTGCAACCAGGTTCTTGCTTCCAAAAGCATTTTACTTAATTGATGAATATTTGACAGGAAAATGGACTTCCGGTACAATGATTTTGTGTGAAGATGGGCAAGCCCTTTGTTTATTTTTTCTATTGTATAAATTTCATATTGTAACCTGACATATCCAGTGTATTCAAAAGAATAATAATGGAAATAAAGATCTTTTGTCTTATGTCTCACTGAGGCAGTTTCTAAGGCATAGGCCAAAATTCAAGATTTTTATTTGTCGTTAGGCATATACAATGATGCATTTGACATTTTCAGATATTAAAACAAAATATAAATTTTCCTATAAAACTAAATATTATGAGGGACAGAGTGCAAAATCATATTAGTTGGAACAATAAAAGTAATATTTTGTAAATATAATGTGTTTTCGTCTTGTGTTTGGTAAAAACTTTATGTATTTATTATAACGAATCGTTCTACGAGGATTGACCTGATGATGTGATTGTCGTCACGAAACCGGTCGTCATCTAATAGCACCAAAGGATATTGAACAAGGTAACTGTTTATTTTATTAATAAAAGTAAAGTTAATTTGTCATAAGCCTTATTCTGTCACAAGTGGGTAACCACATATGTAGGCTATGTGTCTAACTCTTACGTTCATAAAAAAGTTATCTTAACAAAGTAAAGTTAAATGGGCAATCAATAAGTTTGGTCCATTTAAGTCTCCTGGGGGAGATGGCATCTATCCAGCCATGCTTCAGCAAGGACCGGATGCCCTCAAGCTCCTCCTATGTGAACTCTTCCGAGCGAGCTTGGCCTACGGGTACATCCCTCAGGCCTGGCGTCTCAGCAGGGTGGTCTTCATTCCCAAAAGAGGAAAAGCAGACTACTCTGATGCTAAATCATTCCGTCCTATCAGTCTTTCCTCATTTCTCCTCAAGACCTTGGAAAGGCTGGTGGAGAGGCACATAAGAAAGGGTGTACTTCTCAACACACCTCTTCATCGCAATCAACACGCCTACCAGCCAGGCAAGTCCTGCGAAACCGCTCTGCACGAGTTGGTCAGCAGAATTGAGGACAGCCTGGCTGCTAAGGAAATAGCCCTATGCACCTTCATGGACATTGAAGGAGCTTTCGACAATGTAACATACGGAGCAATGGTGCGGGGAGTTTGTGAGCGTGGACTCGAGCAATCTCTGTGTAGATGGACAGAGTCTATGCTTAACTCAAGACGCACCGTAGCCGACTTTCTTGGTAAAAAAAATTGTGATCGCACCCACAAAAGGATGTCCACAGGGAGGTGTACTTTCACCTCTACTGTGGAACCTTGTGGTGGACGGTCTTTTAACTGAACTCACCAGCAAGGGCATCTTTGTCCAGGGCTATGCAGATGACATAGTCCTCATGGTACAAGGAAAATTCACAAACATTGTAGCTGACGTCATGAACGGCAACCTACAATGTGTTAAACAATGGTGTCTCAGAGAGGGACTCAACATTAATCCTTCTAAGACAATCGTGGTTCCTTTCACCACGAAAAAGAACTTGGATTCTCTTTCCAGGCTGAAAATTGGCACTACTCAGCTGGGAGTGTCGAGTACGGTCAAGTATTTAGGACTGACACTTGACTCCAAGCTGACGTGGAACAACCACCTGAATAACGCGCTGCATAAGGCCAAATGGGCGCTCATGACGTCCAGGAGGTTTGCAGGAACCACCTGGGGAATTAAACCCCACATAGCACTCTGGCTATACGAGGCTGTGGTCAGGCCTCAGATTACCTATGGTTCACTAGTCTGGTGGACAAAGGTGAATCAGATAACTGTCATAGCCAAGCTAGAAAGCATGCAAAGGCTCGGCACGCTACAGGCCACTGGAGCCTTCAGGAGCAGTCCATCAGCTACTCTAGAAGTCGCTCTTGGGCTGCTACCACTGGATATCTTCATCAGATCTGAGGCCCTCAAGGCGGCTTACCGTCTGAGGGTTTCAAATCTGTGGAGGGAAGGCCTGTCAGGGGCAGGCCACTGCGCCATTGCTAAGACTTTGGCTGAGTGTCCTGTGCTTGACATGACCTCGGACTTCCTAAGCAAGGAAGCAGTTTTCACCAAACCCTTTAATGTTGAATTCCGCTCCAGAGATGAGTGGAAACATCAGGAAGGGCACCTCCAAGATATGGAGAGCTTCGTCTGGTACACAGACGGCTCCCTAATCAATGGAAAATCTGGTTTTGGGGTTTACTGTCGATCACCCAGAACAGAACTATCAGGAAGTCTGGGACAATACTGTACCATCTTCCAGGCAGAAATCTATGGCATCTTGGCTTGTGCCAATCTAGGACTAGCCAGACGGTACCAAGACAAAAGGATAGTGATTTTATCTGATTGTCAGGCTGCTCTCAAAGCTCTTGACTCAAATGAAGTCACCTCAAAACTGGTCTGGGAGTGTTTCAACACCCTCTGCAGACTTGCATCACAGAACTCTGTAACTCTCGGCTGGGTCCCGGGCCATGTAGGCATTGGCGGCAACGAGAGTGCAGACAAGCTGGCAAAAAAAGGTGCGAGCATGCCACTCTTTGGACCAGAGCCATTTTGTGGCATCAGCAAAGCGGCCGCTAAACATGTAATAAACAAATGGTCCAGGGGACAACACCTTGAGCGTTGGCGTAATTATCCTGGACAATCACTTGGCAAAAAACTGCTCTCAGAACCTAGCACCCCCTTCACTCGCTGGCTGCTAAAGCTGGGGAGAGGGCAGGTCAAGCAGGTACTTGCTCTTATTACTGGACACAGCCATTTCAGGAAACATCTCCACACTCTAGGAATTGTCAATGACAAGCAGGAGTGTCGACTTTGTAATCAGTCCGATGAGACTGCTAAACACATCATTCTGGACTGCGATGGACTACGGGCTAGGAGAAGGGCTCTGTTTGGTCTAAAGCAGCCAGGTGATGAACCAGACGCTAACATTGGGCAAAAGCTCCTGCACCTAGTTAGGGACAGGTATAGGCTTACCCAGTTAGTGGCAAGTGGGATGCACAATAAGCTTCGGTTGACGTGCTTGGACCTTGAGTCCACCCTCACACAATCAATCAATCAATCTATCTTAACAAGGGATGGTTATTTAATTTAGTTTAAAGCAGATTTTAAATAAAAGCCATTATGTTGATTATAGACTCTTTAGTTGAGTTCAAGTAGCTTACTAAATTAAAATTGAATGAGGGTACAAACGACCAATTTCAAATGTGCTACAAAATGAAAAGACAGCAATAACTGGTTCTGGATAGAGAATTAACAGGTTTTGACAGTAAAGTCGTTACAAATGGCATCCAACCCGTATACCAACCAATATAGCCTACAATAAGTTAAACGTCACATTATTAATAATAGAATATAGATTGACTAGACTTAAAACTAAAACAAATAAGTTAGGTAAGCAACCTTAAACTGTTCTTCTGTCAAATCTTCAATTGTACCACAAAATGACTGTCCCGCACAATTTATCAGCATGAATATTGGACCTGACTGCTTTTCCGCTTCAGCAAAGGCCCTTTCTATAGCATTAGGATCCTTGCTCACGTCCACTGCAAAGTAAAATAAAACATATTTATATGTGCTCGCTGCTAAACCTATTATGGACATGTGTGCATGTACAAGTATTTCCATTCCAAAAAGGAAATAGTAGACTCTGTAAATTTTTACTCTGTAATAAAACTGGAAATGTATTTTCCTACCACTGCATGGAAATTATCACATTGCCACACCTATAAACAGTACGCAAAATAGCTCATTTCCGCTCTGGAGCGGGAATGGCCATTCCCGAACGCTAAATCAGCTGATTTCACAGAGTTGGCGTTTCTACGCCAACCGCATCCACGGAGCTGGCACATTAACAACCGGTAAGAAAACAACATTACCTAAAAAAAGGAAACATAACTCAACCTAGGTAAGTTAAATGAGATTTTATATACAACTAACAAATTAACATGTGTCTTATGATAAGTTAATTATGATGACAGGAAAAATCTTGTGTGTATTACTGAAGTAGCTATTTGTGTTTAAGCAGCGCAAAGTACAGTAGGTATGTCATTGTCGCTCTTAAAATGTATGGCCTCCCTCACCTTTAAAGCTTTGTGCGGCCATCTACATTGTTTTAAGCAGCAATGACGTACACTGCTAAAATTCAATTTCACTACCTAACTATCTTTTGCCATGGTAAATTTTTCAGAAATACCGAACAAAACATTAGCATAGAAAATTAGTGATCTAAAACTAACAACAATATTTGCGACTGACCCATGTGAAACAAAACTAAAGCATAGGCCTACTTACAGGAAATTGTTGAAATTTTTTGTTCCGACGATGTGCACAAAGAAGTGATCTCCTCTTTGGCTGCATTGAGCTTCTCGATGTTCCTGGCTACAATTGTCACATGCGCACCTTTTGCAGCTGCTTTCATTGCAACACTTTTTCCTATCCCGCTAGATCCACCAGTAACCTGAAAAATATAACATTTTACTAATCTTAACAAATTAATATTAAAAATTACTTAAATTACATCTTAAATGTTACTAAAATTATATAGGCTACTAGGAGAAAACTTTAGCTAAGAAAAGCATTATATTTCCTAGGCCTACTTCACTTTAACGACGATAACTTACTTATGCCTATGTAGGCTACTTTGTTAAATATTTGCTTTTCTGAAGATGGTGCCAACCCATTTTCCTAGCCTTGAACTGGGCATAATCAAAGATTATGAAACAAGTCATCTAGACCATAGGCTATAAACCATTAGAATAAATTAGTTCATGTTTGAAGAGGGTTGTGAAATATGCAATGTAAGCTTACGCCTGAATCCTGCTGATCCAAACCCCGCTGATTGGAACCCTGCCAACCCCAGTTGGGGAAAGAGGGTGGTATTTGGCCTCGCTAACATTCTGCCTCCACATCTTAAAGACTGCTCTTCACCGTGCAATATTAGTCTTCACTAATTCTCATCTTGATAATATCTTCAAACAATTTGACTTCCACCTCATCTAAAGATATCCAGGAGGTCTCCTTCCTTCCAAGTTTTCATAGCACAATTACTTCACCGAAGACCCAGCAATTCTCCTGATCATGTCTCCAATCCACCTCGTTCTTCAGCTTATAGCATTGGCTAAAACTATGTCTGTAGCCTAGCTGTTTACAGGTCTTATTTCACTGTTGTGCTTAATCAATCTTTGTCCATTTTCTCTTGTTTGTCCAAACACTTACCTCAAAACTTTATTTTAAAAGTAAAATTATGCTCTTTGCTCTGTCATTTAACCATGTCCCTGCACCATAGAGACATGTATTGGTGTATTATAATAGGCTTAGGCTACAGTATAACTTGGAAGATATTGAAAGACATCAGGACAGTGAAGGGTGGAAGAGGCTGGTACACGAGGCGAAGAATCAACTGAGATTTGTGGAGCCACGGCAGTAAGTAAGTAAGTATGTACCGTTAGGCTATAACTTAATAAATTTTTGTGAACAGAAAAAGTAGGCTAACTGAAGGCTACAAGTTTATTAAGGGGGCAGCCGGTAGTGATAGTTTTAGGCTACAATCTTTATTTAAAACATATATTTACGCATATACTGTTACTCACAAGACGGTAAATATGGTAAATACCCCCGCCGCAGCAAACCTGCAGACTAAGCGAATTTCCATTTATTCCTTATTTAATAGAATTATTGCAACAAGTACACTTAGGTTTGCTGCAACAGGGAGGGTAAAAAAGTGTTTTTGTTGTAAAATAATAATAGTTTTAGTAAGAAATGAATGAATTTTCCAAATTCGATCAAAACATGTTCATAAATAAGCAAACTACAACAGTAGACTTATTCTCCATAATTTTAAATTTACAACTTTTGGAATTTCCTCCATAACCATTAGGTGCACAATAATGCTTCAATATAAGCCTACTAAATTATTTGTTTTTTTAAGCTCTACAAAATTGTTGGGAAAGAAATTGTGAAATTTTGGAATTTTAGGGTCAAAAATTGGAAAAAACTATTTTTATCCCATAAAACCCCCCATAAACCCCTGTTCCCATAGCCCGATCATGCTGGTTCACGAACTCGTTTGAATAAATGTAGGTTTACACGTATATACCAAATTTCATCAAAATCGGATCATTTTTGCTCGAGTTATCGCGCTAACGGAATATATATGAATTTGAACGGATGGTGTTTTTGGCCTCTAGGGACCTCAAAACGAAAAAGTAAATCGGTCCCAGGTCCAGGTCTTACCATGAGTACTACGGTAATAGCTAATTCCCTGTATGGGAAATTCGCTAATATTCCCTAGCCTATATAGGAAATTCGCTAAAAGATGGCAAGTGGTGATCGATTTCGATTGGACACTCCAATCATCATCAGCCCCAATAGGCGAATGAGAAGAATCTTGAATGGCATCTCTACTTAAGTTATATCCTACTGGCTAGGCACCGGAAGCACCGGCCAATACATTTTTCTAAGTACAACTGGAGTCGAAATTTACTTGTGGTATAGCCTACATAAATTAGCTTATTTCTATTTTTACATTTTTCCTAACAAACGTACAATTCTTCCCAAGCATTCATTTCATGTAAGTAATGTGTATAATATGAGTAGCCTAAGAATGAAAGCATAGCCTACTGTGAGGGGAAATAGTACCAGTTTGGTATGAAAGTCTATCATATCACTAACTTATATGAATACCCTCGCTGCAGCAAACTTGCAGACTAAGCGAATTTCCATTTGCCTGATTGGATTTACCACTAAAATGTCCTAACCTAACCTAACGGTACTGTCACAACTGGCCTTCCGCGCGTCTCCCGCAAGCCACTGTTATCGCGTGGACTTTGAACCTTCTTATCGCTCGACAACCTGTACGATGGTCTTGCGGGGCTAGAATTTTAATTATATGTTTCTTGTTTTCTGAGAACATCCTTATGACCGTAGTAAAACATTAAAAAGTTTGGGGTTGTCCAAGTAATTGCTCAGAATTACTAAAAAAAGGTCTAACTAAGTATAAGATAGGACATAATTTGATATGGCTTGCATTTTTACTTTAATATAGGCTAAGTTAGGCTACATCCTAACTTGTAAGCACATGCAATTTTTTGCATGTCTACATAGTTTAAGTTATTGCTTACCACAATATGTTGTCCTGAAAATGAAGTTCTGTTTAGAGCCGACTTAAATTTCATAAAGTAAAAAAGTAAAGTAACAAAAAGAACTAAGATTGCTGTTAAAATCGGGCCATAAAAACTTAACACAAACACAGTAAACATATCAACTTTTTCTTCCATTTTGACAAGGTAAAAGTTCTGAACGCTTTAAAAATAAAATTTTTAACTCAGCCCTTTAAAAAAATATTTAAGTTCTTAATAGGCTGGTTAACTTATATATTTGTTGGGAAACCGGCAAAGTAAAAATCTCTCTCTTGTGAGTGCGACAGCGAAAAATTCAACGATGTAGTTTTAGAAAATCGTCGTCTGTTATAAGTTGTTAAGCCCTGACAAATTCAAGACATAAGATTTTATGTACTTTTTAGTTATATCCAACCTATGAAGCCCGGAATTAAATTTCAAACCTTTAACCTTTTATAACTATCTATTTTAACACAAATAAATAAACTTTATTTGACAACCCAAACAATCCCTCACACCCACACCGGACAGAAACTCAGCCTTGAGCCTTAGCAGAAAGAATAAGAAACCCCAGCACGCAGAAGAAGAAGAAGAGAAACAGATGTTTATTGTTGAACAGCACTAGAAACAGTGCCAACGCCAACAGAAAAAAATTATTGTGTCTATCGAAAAAGGGGGAAAAGTAGGTACTGTCATAGATTAAACATATTGTCTAATCTATGGTACTGTACAACAGCTGCACAATGTAGGTATATCACGACACGAGTTTTCATTCCGCTTATACAAAGAATATGTATAATCATAGCTAAAAAACTAGTAGATTTCCCATCCTTATGGAATGGAACAGCTGAAGCCAATTTTATCGTTAGTTAAGTTCTGTCCGGTGCACTGTAGAAGTGAAGTAGTGTTTTGCTTACAATTTGTTTCTTGTTATTTCAGTCATTTAAAACCCCGTTCAACCAAATAAAACGATATAATCATAATCGATAACGCACACTCTAGTTGTATAATCAAACAGTAAAGCATACAAATAAATCATGAAATGAACTCTAAAATAATAGAAACAACATTTCGTCGACACTAGCCACCAGTGTTACTCGACATGAGCTAGACACGAAAAACGAGCTTCAAATTTACAATGGGATAAGAAGTCTACTTGTGCTGGTTAGATGCTTGTACATTATTCCCCAACTAGTGTCCCTGTTGCTCGAATTCGAGCAATTGCTAAGTATTACAGGCATTATTATAAACCAAAAAACAGTCATAATTTCTGATGACTTTAAAAGATTCGACTTAAAGATTATGGAAATACTCAAGATGTATATAACAGATCGATATAATCAACATTTATTGTAAACATCTTATCATTATTCGAAGTTTTCTACAAAAATAGCCTTACTCATAGCCGCATTAGGTTGTCCATAATAACTATTATTAACTTAAAAAAACCATTATTTCTCTTTCTTCTCCTTGATGGTGTTCTACGTTTCCATAGTTTGCAAATCGGCTCTTTCAATGATTACTAAGAAATGCAGCACAGTGTTAATTCAGTTTTTTTTTTTATTATATCAATTTATCCAGGCTCTCTCGCTTTTTCCCATTGCAGTATTTACGCCAACCCAAATTAAAATAGTAAATATTTAATTTCAACCAAGTCAGTAACAGTTTGTAGCAAACTGTTAAATTAGCAAACTTATTGACTGTTTACAATTTACACATATGTATGTTCTTCTTCTCACTTTTAATTTCTGACAACAGCTGTAGTTTCATAACAATTTGTGTTCCCCATGTTAATCTTATGGAGAAATACGAAACTTTAAAGGGCCCCAGAGCCTCACTCTCTAATTATTTCCCTAAAAAGAAAGTTTCCTGCACAACTTCACGTTACGCTCTTTCCAATGACACCAAAAACATGACAATCGGTTCAGTAGTTTCGGAGGAGTAATTGTCACAAAAAACCTGCTTGCGTATTAAATATGTATAGATAGATAATTTACTTAATCACACTTATCGGTAGCAATATTTTCAAATTTGTTGTTGTTTTTATAGGTTTTTTGATTAATTTAACAACGATGATAATTGTAAAGGGAGTATGTTTTATCTATGATTGTAGTTAATACATTTTATAATGGTTCTCAATTCGTATTGTACCTATTTATTTTGTTTAGTTTTAGGTCAATGAACAGCTGAAGCCAATTTTTATGGTAGTTCTGTCCGGTGCACTGTAGAGGTCATGTTTTGATTACAATTTGTTTCTTGTTATTTTAGTCATTTAAAACCTCGTAAGCATTTTAAACAAAACATTACCCTAGCGGCACCAAATGGAACGATCATCAAAAAATAATCTTCAGCTTAACCATTTAAATAATGACAAATCCAAGGGATTATTTTTAGTCGATGATATTACTATCTTCTTAATGAACACAAAACCATCCGTTTATAATTTTATAAAATACCGTACTTTATTGGAAAATCAAATTGTTTGATATATGAAAATAAATTTTGATTGATGTAAAAAAATGCAAGTCAATGTAGTACAAAGTACTTAGTTTAGGTATTCTATAAGCAATGTAATTAATCGTTATTTCCTAAACGCCTGAACCAGATTTTTGGACTACAGTGTTGGTATTTAAAAAAAGAAGAATAAGGTTAAGTCTTCTGTTTGCAAATAATAGCTACTGTCAAAGGAAAGGAATTGACAATTGTCAGATTAAAGTATTGTCTAGTTACTGTAAATTTTATTTGTCTTCTGATTTTAAAACCCTTCAGAGGATTCAATAGATTGTCATTTTAATTGTAGCGCAGTTATCTTAGTACTCTACTGTATAGTCGGTAAGTTTTGTTACAGCTAAGTTAATGCCCATGCAAACTTTGTTTGATCATTGATTTTGATTTATCTTTATTTTCCAATGATATTTTCATTCCGTTGTTTGTGCCAACGGATATGGAAGTGTACCCAAATTGCTCTGTTATTTATACCATCCATGCGGATCAAATTAAATATTTAGCTCGTTTGTCAAATGTTGGTAATGTTTGTCTGTAACTTACCAATTAGGGCCTAATTGCTAATTCAAGGATATGCATGAAAAACAGCATTCTTGGCCAGAAGCTGGCAGTTGTCTAGTCCAAATTGTCTCTTCTTACCTTCAACTAATAATACAACACAGTATCCAATAGTCAATACTAAGTATTACTGATAACTTACTAACTTATCTAGTAGCCTATCTAACAAAAAAATGACGATAAAAATATATACAGTACTGTAGAATCAAGAACATGGTTTGGTTTGTGTTTTTTTTATGTAAAATGTTATTAGGTACCCCAGGGCCTTGCAGCATAAAATAAATAAATCTGCCAAGTAGGCCTATAGCGTTGGTATCCAAAGTAACATGAATTTCTATCGCATTCACCGTGAAATCTCCGTCGTCAACTGCCATAGCGATGAAATCATGGACAGTTGGAATGAATTCTGTTCCTATAAAATCCAGAATATTTGAAATGTAATCCTATCTGAAAATCAGGAATTGATTTTCCCCCAAATTTTGGAACTCTTCCATCTCTAATGGCTACTTTTACTTGACCAAGTAGCACACAAAACATTTTTGTTTTCTGTAAAAAAACTGCCAGTAAAAAAGGTAGAGAATCACGGATCTACAATGTCTGTCTAGCCCACCCCGTTTTTATGTAATCTTAATCTTAGTGTAGCATAATATACTATCATTTGGAATGCTAACAAAAGGGTATAGCTGCTTTAAGATTATGTCAATGGCACATGTATTAATTAAAGAATTAAGTAAAGTCAATAATCAATGGTTAAACATTAGCTATGTCCACATTTGTGCTTTTAAATTTCAACATGCCTTACTTACAGCTTTCAATTCAACATGCATCAAGGCAAGCGGTATTGCACGCGCCTTGAGGCATGCCTTTTAGCTGTCCACACTCGTAATGTGTCACTTTCCTACCTTTCCAGATACCTTTTCCTAATTAGATTAAGACAACGCTATTCTGATAGGAGAGATAGTGTGGCATATTTAGTGTTAAGAAAAGTTCCAAAACGTAAGAAGTAAGAATAAAGAAGTACTATAAAATTCAACATTTTCTTATTTTAATTGGCACCTACATAAAATATATTTAGGCCTACTCTTATCCTGATTACTCACAAGACAGTAAATACGTATATAAAATATGGTACAGTGGAACCTTGATAAGGAGACCCTCGATAACAAGTTGCACTTGAAAACAAGTGTCATTTTCAAATCCCCTTAAAATTATTTTACCCTTAATCACATTACAAACCTCGATAACAAGTCAACCTTGATAACAAGTCTTATTTTACAATCCCCATGAGAGTCTTGTTATCAGGGTTCTACTGTATTTTATATGTACCGGTCTTGTAAATAACAGTAAGTGTAAAATATATATTATTACAAGTGTTATTTGACATATTTTTTTGTACTTTCAGGTAATTTAATAACACATGCGGTTCTGATTAAAGAAAGTTATTAAATTCAAACCTCATTATTACTTCAAAATTATTAATGATGATTATTAAGGCATTTAATTAATGAACTCTTATTTATAAACTCTACCTATCCCAAACTATGAATTTAAAAGTTATTTTTACTAAGCCTCCCTCTTTTTATTAGATAGGCAATTTTTTTTTTTATTTACGAAAAAAATGTTCCACAGATAATATCATGGTGTGTTTGCCCTGTTTCGTTGTTCCCGTGCTGCTGATGCTGTGGCGGTTCATAATCTGGCCGTTAATCAGGCCTCTCTACGTCCGTTGGTACGGAAATGCTGAAGACAAGAAAGCCGTCAACGGTACTGTAGAAAAACTGGATAAACTAGGTGATGACGGTTGCCCTTTTGGCTGCCCTTTAAAACCCAAAGAGAAAACAGTATCTGCAGCAGATGAGAAAAAAATATCATGATTAATCTCTCCTAATGTTAAATTTGTAAATTGTTTGTAATTTTATATCTGTTTTTCCCCTTTATAGAAAATGTACTAAACATTAGAATTACTCTTGTCGTGCATTTTTAATTTAAATCGCTGTTCATCAGAATTGAAAAAATTATGACTTTGTGTTTGTTAATTTAATTTCAAGTCTACAGGGTGCATTTATACTTAGGCACATAGTTTATATTGTTGTATTATAATAAATGTTTGTTATTTTAGAACACATTGTGTTAGTTTATTTGACAGCCTTTAGTTCAACTTCAAAGACGAGAGTGCTATTAGATGGTATCTTGGGTGGATATCCTTCAGCTCCATATCTGCAACATGATCAGAATCACTATTAATTACATAACAGTAACATTTTACGTAGCCTACAATTTCTCAATAACTTTATATTTGTTGCTGGTAGTGTGACAAAAATAATCATCGACTCACCAGAGAAAGTGTATAGTAACATTGGCTGAAAGAAATCCCAATGATCGTGCTAACACTTTTAACTCCATATACTTCATAACACTGTTGAAACATTCAAGTTTTACTCCTGTGGTAACAATTAATAAAGCTGTATCTCCAAACGATCATTGTATATAAAGTCATAAAGTATGGTAAAATGCAAAAAGTAATTTTCAAAATAACTATATCCACATTTTAAAAACTTAGCTTAGGTAAACTGAATCTTAAACAGTCTAATTTAAGGTTAAATCTCGTTAACCAATGGCAATAATTGAACGATAACCATTTTCTCTCTTAACGCTCACACAACAAGGATAAGCCCACAAGCTCATTTTTTGTACTTAAACTGAGTGTGTTTACGAATTCAAAGTTTAATAATAGCTATTTACCTTACATGTGTAGTAAGGGCATCTTTACATCACGCAGGTAAATGTTGTGCAACAAGCGGAAGCAAGTTGCATAATAATTCACCTAAGTGTCCCCATCACGCTTAGGGAAGTTTAACATGGCGAGTTAGGTAAAACTCCTTATCATACTGCAAAGACATACAAAGGGCTTATTACCAAACCAATGGGTATTTACTAAGAAGTAAACAAACTCACGCCATGTCTGGAGGACAAGTGATGACTCGTTTTCCACCCACTTTCATGCCAACGAGTCCGACATCCCAGCCATCGATTACTTCTCCTTTTCCAATGTGAAATGTCAGCCCTCTGCCACTAGTCATTGCATCAAACTGTTTGTTTGTGTCTCTCAGTTTACCACTATAGTACACTGTAACCTATGAATATACCATTATTTAGCTGATAAAAAAGTTCAACTTGACTTTTATAATCATACCATATTTCAAAAAGAAGATAAAAATATAAATTTTTCATTTTTTTGTGTTTTTTTGTATAGGTACCAGTATACATCAAATAAACACAATGGAACAGCTCACACTATGTAAATCATGTTTTACTTTTTTTTATGCACACAAAAATGGTGCGGATATATCAGCCACCCGTCTGCGGATGAGCAGAAAAAAAGGCGCTGCTCATCTTTGGAAACCAGGACTATTTAAATGGTAAATTGTAAATAATTGTAAATGTTGATGGACGATAAATTATGTTAATTGATCATCGATACCATAAACGACTATGAGCTCACACAAAATGTATGGCTATGATTCTGTATTTAGCAGGTATAGTTTGGAAAACTGAAAATATTGTCTGAATGAAAATAATTACTAACACAAACCCATCACTTAATATCCAAACATCATAATCACACCTTTCAAGTGATGTATAATATTCCTACAAGAGAAAGTTCCTAAAATTTGAACATGTTAGCCAGGAATAGGCCTACTTCATTTTACATTTTGGTCACCAAATAATTTCCTGATATGGACAACATCTGGGTGCCTGTTTTCAAAGAAAGAGTAAAAAAAATGTAACAAAAGAATAATTTACTTACAGTAGGCGATATTGATAAAATAAATTCTGAAATTTAATCAATAATATACCCACCGTACTTCCGCTTTTAGCAGGTGAGCCATTTCCAACTACAACATCAGTAATGGTGACACCCCCTTGGAGAGTTTTCTCTTTTAAATTATGTTTTTCAGCTGCACCATGAGATGTGGTTTTCACTTTCTTTGAATAGAGTCTAGTCTGAAATAGAAAAAAATAACCATGGATGTTTTTGGTTTAATATATTTTCCTTTCATAAACGTAGGCTACTAACTAAAACCAAAAACCAGAGTAACTGGTTTATTTGGCACATTTTGGGTTACTGTAATGTATTGTCTGAGCTAAATTAAGGTGAGCATACCCCCTCTCCCATTTTTAGAGGGATGTGTTGTGCGAGTACATAGCCTCCGCCAATACAAGGTGGCAACGTTGGTTTGCCACACCGGCGTCCTATTGCCATTGTGGTAAAAACAAACATATGAAAATAAATATTGGCCAGGATGGTCCATTATGAATTGAAGAAACAGGTCTAGGCAATGTTGCCACTTTTGTCTTGGAAGGGTAACCACAATAAGGAGGTAAGAGGTAAGTTCGCGGTACCTCAATATAACACAAATAGGCCTAAATTGTGTGTTATTAGCACTGTGCATAGTGAATAGGTCGAGGTACCTTGCAGCTTACCAGGAAGCAGCTTACCTACACGTCCACTTTTGAAAAACAAGAAAGTTTATAATTGTTTTTGCTAAAGGCTGTTTGGGCACGAAGAAACTCTTCTTGATAATGAGCTCAGTAGTTCCCTAAGCCGCAGAGTATGCCACCAATTGCTATCGCTTTTAGCACGGTGATAAGTGTGGGCTGGCCTAATTGGCCACAGACGGTGATTTTTGAAAATTAAGGTACAAACCTACCGGTATGAATAGCTGCAACAAACTGGGGAATATGCAACAAGTTAGCTCAAGCTAAATCATTGGCAAGTTGTCCTCAGAAAACAACGCATTTCTAATTAACTAAAATTGAGGCTATAAATAAGTTAGTATTTAAATTTCAAAGCGAAATGTTAATTATTTGATAGAATTGCAAACTTCCTCCTTTGTCCGGCCTGTTGTTCAGCCTTTGGATTTGTAAACCTTGGGCAAAATTACCTTTTTTTAACCCCACAGTTCCACATTATTATGAATGTGCCAGAACCCTTAAACTATCAAAAGTTTTAATTTCTAATTTAATAAGTTACTTAAGTTAGTTCTATTACCGTACCTAAAGTTAATTCAATGAAAATTGTTTAACTTAAATTAAGAGTTTTTGACTGAACACCATTACTAAAATATAATGAAGCTATTAAGATAAAACTCTAGTATTTACTTAAAATTACAAACTGAATTCATTACCGGTATTTTGAGTGTATCATTTATGGGCCTATTGAGCCTTTTCATAGGTAGGCCTACTTCATTTTCAAAAGCCTGAGTTTCGAATCGGGGGCATAAAACACATTTATAAATCGCATCATTAAATACACTGAGGCGTTTAAAATTCCTAATACATAGCATTTTAATTTTAATTTGAACTTTGTAATAAGTAAAGCTTTGAAATCTGCAATATCATTTGGTTAACTTAATTGGTTGTTTTTTGATTTTGTTTGTAGCTGTAGCAGTAACTACTAACTAGAAGAGAGCAGAGAGGTTATGTTTATATTTTGAACTATCGTAAAAGGTCATTTCCTTTTTTTACAAATCAAGGTTCTGATTGTAAACCATGAAACTACAGTGTACAAATGTTTTGATTGGTTTTTTATTATTTAGTATGTATTAAAAATTCGATTGTCGTTGCATTTGTAAATACAACATTTAATGTGTCAAGAAGAATCTAATGTGGTGGAGATTTTTTTATGTATACAATAATTGTTTTCAAAGACAATGTATTGGCATAGATAAAACATACTCCTCAAGGACTCCTTGACAAGGTATGTTTTATCTATGGTATTGGCCTGGATTATTATATTAACATCATAGACTAGACTAAGGTTGGCCTACCATAGGCTAAGGTGTCCGCATATTAAGTACTGTAACAACACGTTTTTATAGGATAGTCTCTGCATGGTGCAAGCCTAATCCCCAAAACCCCCCTCCACTCATGTAACATAACGCTGTCAAATATTTTCTTAAACAAGGTTGTGGTGTATTTAACTTTTTTCTCCTGATGTAAAAAATTATTGTAATAACTTTAATTATTGTTATTACAAGTAATCCTTAAGTTGTCATTAGTGCGACCGGTTTCGATGTCTAGCATCATTGTCAAGCTGAACGTAAAAATCGCTCCTAGGAGGTCGTCATGAGTCTTGAAAAACACGCAACACATAACACGTACACAAACAACCCGCCGCTGTGTTGTAAATTAGTTGTGTGGCCATGCATTTTATCGTTTTTTGTGGGTCACCGGAATTTTATCCCCCTGGGCAAAGCTGACGTCACTATGACATAGTAACCTGAGTGGCCAAAAGTTTGTTCGCGGCCGGAATTTTACTCCCGCGGATTTGGAAGTCTAATGAAAATAGTCAGAGCGTGATTAATTAGGTTAGTGATAAAAACCGGAATTTTACCCCCTGTCCATATAACTAGTGTTTAGACAACTGAAAATGTACGGGCCGGATTTTTACCCCCTGGAATTTTACCCCCGGATTTTTACCCTCCGGAATTTTACCCCTTGGCTGATTTTAGAAATTGATTGATTGATTTTTCTTTTTTCTGTTTTTAATTAATTCTAAACATTTCATTATTTAGTAGCCTGTCTTTATTTATTTATTTTTTAATCTCAACTAAGTAAACAGAATTTGCTGTTTTATTTTGATCAACCAACAGTTGGCTTCAAAGATCAAATCCTGATACTCGAATCCCAAAATTAAAATTAAAAAACCTGTTCGATTAGTTAATGTTACAAATACAATAAGATAAGCCACTTAATAATAAAATGTTTACTATTAAATTAAAACTGAATGAAGATAATTAATCATTCTCACTAATTGATATATCTGGCCAGGGGGTAAAAATCCGGGGGGTAAAATTCCGGGGGGTAAAATTCCGGGGGTAAAAATCCGGGGGTAAAAATCCGGGGGGTAAGATTCCGGGGATAAAATTCCGGGGGTAAAAATCCGGGCCGTACATTCTAGGTTTTTATAATTTGATGTGTTCTGATGAGACGTAGGAATTGGCTAACTCAGGAACTCGCTAACTCGGTCGTGTGTCGGAACTGGCTAACTCCGGAACTGGCTAACCGTCTCAGTCAGGAATTGGCTAACTCCGGAACCCGCTAACTCGATTTTGTCTCGCGGCGGAATTCGCTAACTCTGGAAGTCGCTAACCCGGCCGCGCCCACTGCACGGAGCGTTGCCAACCTTGTACGACAAAATAATCGTACACTGCCGTATTTCAAAATGTCAGTGTCAATAAAGATACAGTAAATGTTATTGTTTTTTGTTATCAATTCCACTTTTAACAGATAACTAGCCCAAAGTAATTCAAAAGACAATTAAAAAATCATTAGGTAAAAAAAAATCATCAAATTGAATTAGGTAAGAAAATCTTTAATTTGCTGCCACATAATGTAAAATGCTTAGATGATAAGAAATTCAAAGTGCATTTGAAATCTCTTTTGATAGAATTAAGTGTCTATGATGTTGACGAATTTATCACTTATTTAAGGTGTCCAGTTTTGTAAATAGAAATTTATTGTAAAATATGACGATGCCATACGTATGTTTTGTATGTTTTACGGCAATAAATGATTTGATTTGATTTGACATGAAAAAGTGTTTTTTTTATTAAACTGTACAATGGCCAGTTAAATGTTTATGATTTCGATCTTAAATATAAATGCCATCAGTATAAAAGAAAATAATAGGATATGAAAAATATTGAAATTTCAGTTTAATTGGTACTAAATAATTAAACCTCTACGAAACTAAGCTAAAATACACGCAAGTTCTTAAACACGGAAACAGATGTATGTTACATGTTATAAAACCGTTTTTAGATTGTACACCTAAGCACCACTAGTAAAAAATAGTAGAAGATATAATATTCATATAATAAAACGTTACACGGTAATTTTAATTCACGATTCTTAATAAACGAATTGACGGATTTTCCTGATTTGAGTGTTGGGTTTCCTTTATATTGCTTTCACAATCGATATAAACTATACCAAGCCATTGCTTGGTTCACCGTTCCCCAGTACTGAGCTTCACAATAGACAATAGCTTTGTTTTTGGATAACATTAAGTAATTTTAGCTATGACCACCAATTCATAGAATAGAATTGTAACAAACAAGAACGCCTGCGTCCATTTAGAATCAGCCTAGAGACAAACTCCAGACTTTTAAAAAGTAGGCCTACTGAAAGACGTAATTCAACAAAATTAAGAGGATGACCCCGGGTCTACACTAATAGCCTACGATAAAAAAAAAATTACAAGTTGTATTTATGCATAGACTAACTTTTAATGCAATCCATGAATACATTAGGCCTACCACTTTATAATGTATTGATAAATATTTATTTAAATTCAATAGCTCTATTTAAAAATACATTATCACTACAATGTAATTCTTTAGTGACGTTTAACGTGTAAATTTTATTATGATTTATGATTCAAGGTTACAAGCCTAGTATATAAAATACGAACTCAATAATTTTATTTGCAGAAATTTACAAAATGGTATTTATTCGAATAAAAGAAACAAATGGTGGACTACGAAAATAGATATTTCATAACATGTAATAGATCCAAATTAAATGTGCATTTTTATCTTTTTGCATACCAATAAGCTACTATTTAAGTAAGAAACCCACATATAAAACATACTCCCTTATATTAGTACATTTCTCATCCTTATGGATCAGCTGAAGACACTTTTATTGTTAGTTCTGTCCGGTGCACTGTCTTTAGAGGTCGTGTTTTGTTTACAATTGTTTCTTGTTTTCAGTAATTTAAAACCTCGTTTAACCAAATAAAACGTTCTAATCACAACCAATAACACGTCCCCTAGTTATATAACCAAACAGTAATGAACAAATCATGAAGTTAACCATAAAATAATAGAAACACAATTTTGTCGACACTAGCGATCAGTGTCACCGGACATGAACTAGACACGAAAAACGAGCTTCAAAGTTTACAATGGGATGTCAAGTTTACTTGTGTTGGTTAGTCTATGGTAAGACTATAATGCATTTTCCACAAAAATAATCATAGGAATAATGTTAAACATACTTCTAAATATATTTATTTTATCGACTACGTTGCTCTTACTCCTAATTAATCGTAGGATACGACATTATGGTACCGATACGATATAGGTACTACACTTTCGGCAACACTGGCCAAAAATATTCGTGCTTGGCTCCCATTGGACGGCTCGCGAGGCTTCTGATTGGGAGTTAGCGAGTTCCGCCGAGGGACCGAGTAAGCGACTTCCGTGCGAGGACGGAATTCGCTAACCCGGCTCTAGAGCGGGTTAGCGGGTTCCGGAGTTAGCCAATTCCGAAACCGAACAAGTTAGCGAGTTCCTCTCATCGACCAAATTTGAAGATAGGGCATTTAACATGGGGTTAGCGAGTTCCAGAGTTAGCCAATTCCGCGGACCCGTTCTGATTAAAATCACAAGCGTGAAAATTTATTTTTAATTCCGCGTTTAATCCATCGAGCTGATGTCGCGAAACTCAAAAGTTCGCGGCCGGAATTTTACCCCCTGGTTTGTGACGTCATGTTTGCCCAGGGGGTAAAATTCCAGGGGGATAAAAATCCGCTACCTCTTTTTTGTTTGTGTACGTGTTATATGTGTTGCGTGTTTTTCAAGACTCATGACGACCTCCTAGGAGCGATTTTTACGTTCAGCCTGACAATGATGCCATAGACATGAAACCGGTCGCACTAATGACGACTTGAGGATTACTTGGACAGAATCAAGGTAACTTAACCTCTTGTATACAATTGAGACTTTAGTTAAGCTTTTTTTGTATTTAATAAATTTGGGTGATTTCTATAAAAGACTTGTGTTTTTACTTTCCTTTATGTTAAACTCCATTTACTCCCTATAGTTCGACATCCCTTAAGTCCACAAGCCTACTCAGATCAGATTCAGGTAAAACCTTTTCGCCACAACCCTATCTATTGACTTTAGGTTAGGGTAACTATGTGACCCTAACTGAACTGTAGTCCAATGCCCGTCAAGCATACCCTTGCTGTGGCAGGGCATAGCCCCTCCAAACAGCCCAAATTTACGAGGTATTCCCTCACAGTACAATGCTAAATTCATTGTAAGGCGTAACACACAATCGAATGTCTCACCCAGGTTATATCGCTTCGGCAGGGCTAACTACTGTTAAGTGTTATCTCAACTATCTCGAGCTCATATTCATAAATACTATCCATCCTTGGACCTAAGACTTAAAAGCACAACTTATAACGTCACGCTTATGCCTAGTAGCTAACTATTGATTAACGACTATACTTAGGCCAACCAAGGGCTCTTCACCAGACAGCACCCAGAAAACTGCCCTATGTTTTCTTCTTTGTGACTATTAGTTGTTTGGTTTTTTTTTAATTTTTTAGTGAGGTTGGTTTTGACAGTTTTCTATAGTTTGTTGGTTTAGAGAAGTACGGTAAAAAGAATATCACACGGGAACAACCATACATGTCTGGTAAACACCCATTTTCTGGACTAGTAATGTACTCTGCAGCTGACCGTAAAAAAAACTACCACATAATTACACTAAAAGCTGACAAATGAAGCTATGCAGGAAGTAAATAAAACAAAAGATAAGAATTGACACTTGTAATTGCCTTTCTTATTGCTCGACACTGGTAGCAGCAAGCCTTGAGCCATAGAGCACTGGTAACAACATGGCTACTAGTCACTGCAACTGGAGGAGGCGTGACAGAAAAATATCTGGCAAATATGATTAACAAGCAGTCAATGTCCATTTCATTAAAATGTACATGTGTACGAGTGTGTGTGTTTGTATGAATAAATTTGATTCTGTTGATTTTACTTTATATTTGAAAAACATTCATTATGATATTAGAACAACATTTGGGGAAAAACTGTGCTTTACAGGTTATACTCTGTTCACCAAATTTAGCTGGTTTTAGGGGAAGAAATCCATCCCCTCCACTTGATCCTATATTTAAAACAACAGCTGAGGTTTAACACAACGCAAATCAGCTGCTACATTTATAAAGCAAAAAAAGTAGTGGAAGAAATTACTTCTCCTCAAACCACCGAAATTTCGTGAACGGACTAAAGTAATTAGTTTCAGTAGGAAATTTCGTCCAAGGGTTGGACTTGAACAGCATCCTCAACATTTGAGGGTTCTGAAACAATTTCTCTTAAAAGCGTTTGTGATTGTTAAAAGTTAAAAGTGTTTGTGCACAGTACAAAAACAAATGCTAGAAAACTTGATTAATCCATTCCCTATTATTACAGTATCTTATTTTAGTACCATCATTGACTAGTCAAAGGTACCATTTAGAAGTATTGCGCAGATGATCTTTTATTCATCAGGTTGTTTTTTTAATCAAAACTACTCACAAAACCAAACCTCCAGTTGGTACTAGTAGCTCAATATCTGGGTGAGAGTAGGGTAACAATGGCGTGAGGGAAACAAATATAATATCAACTGAATTACTGATTATTGGCTGATCTCTTAAAACAAAGAATATCAAGTGGTGCAGGCCTTATTGAGACGAAACATATTTGAGTATTTTTGTAATTGTAATAGCTGATGATAACCCATCATAACGGATAACGGACAGAGTTGTGAAGGGGGGACCCAGTGGCCGAACCTTTCTGGCTTATGTTTGTGCCTGGGTTTTAGCAGTTTTATGATGTTTCACAATAGAATTTTATTTTAAATTATCATGTATAAATTTATAGGAAAATTCCAAATGTGCCGTTACTGACACATTAGTGGTAGTAAATAAAGAAAATATTTTGTATGTTTATCACACACTGCTGAGTAGTTTGAAATACAGTACTAACAAAGTACAATAAAAGCCCCCTATTCCGACATCTGATGGTCCGATCGGTCTAAAGGTCTAAAAATTCTGTCATATATTTTGTAGCTATATCACATTACCCAGAGTCGATAGTGATTGGCAGACGTCGGTAGCAACCAAAAGATGTTGGGAGCCATCAGCAAAAGCTTTTAAATTGGCAGTATTTTTGTTAGTCATATAATGGCTGTTTTTGGGAGATATTCAGTAACAACGCCAAAGTCCCGAACAAGCCGGATTAGAGAGCGTCTTTTGTATTAAAGATTCACACAAATATCTTTCTTCCGCAAATGGATTAACATGAGCTAAAACTTAGTCCTTTCCAAATTAAGTTTGGCAAACAAAAATTGTAAATATCTGTTACAAAAATACACAAGTGTCTAAAAAGAAACTCAATTCAAAATATTTTGTGCACAACATTAGTGTTTTTAGTCAGAAGTCATAAAAGCCTTCTATAGCAAATAACTTATAAAATGTACAATGTCACATTGATTTGTGCGAAAAAGTGATAAAACAAAAAATAAATAAACACGGTGCACCATTTTCTTTGTTAATCCTTGGGTACAATTTATAGCCACCACCATTTTTTTACCATAACCACAAAAAAGTAGCACTATTTGTATTCTAACACTTTAATAGATACAAATTTGTGGTTGAATTCATATAAGTAGGGGGTACCGAACAAGGTTCAATAGTAAATTCACATAGTATGTTCAAGTAAACGCTTCATGAATTTAAATCAATGACTGAATTAAATAACTGTTATTTACAAAAATATAGCTTTCTAAATATGACTAAACAAAACAATCCATGAGTGTGTTTGAATGAAATTATACAACCTTCAAAGTACAAACTTATAAACTAACATTAAAATCTATCTCCTCAATATACAATCTTATCTACATTGGGACAGGCTTAGCTGCTTGATGCATGATTTATAATGAGATTGAACACAATTGAAAAAAATTCATGTTAATGGCTATTTTAAGGTTAGGTGAACTCGTATAACAGGTGATAAAATCAGGTATTTGACTCAATTGCAATAATATCAGTTAAAGGCAAGTTATTGTAGTAATACGTTAAAAGTTGCGTTTGTGGTTGAAAGTTTTAATAATTAAATGGGTTCTCAGGGAAAACAGCCCAGGTTTTTTTGTGTAGCTTAGTTACGCAACAGTTAGTCCATTCAAAGATTGCGTAAACAAAATCCTTAAATATATTGAAAGTTATGGTAAGTAAATATTAAAATTTTAAAATACTTATTTTTGTACAAAGTCAAATCAAACTTGCCATAAAAATATTAATAATAAAAACACACATGTATATCAATAATGATACATTTTTTAACACCTAGGTCCTGTACAAATTTACCAATCCCAACATTTCCTAATTACACATTTTATCTGCAACGGGAATAAAATGTCATAAACAAATATAAAACAAATAATTCTTAAATACTTAAGCATGAATATATTTAAAATTTAAATCATGTGTTTTAATTTCAAGTTCAACTTCAGTGCCATTCTTGCAACAATACTAGTCACCGCCCATATGATTACAATATCGGTTAATTGTGCGTTGCACCAACTACCGTGTGCTTTCCGATATGTTAAATTATAATGGCTAAACTAGATTGAATGAGCCACTGCAACTGCTATACAATAAATAAATAATTTATCTATATTACAAATTAGTATTTTAAGTTACACATTATTTACAATTAAATACTGAGGTATTTTCAAACAACTTTTATTTGGCTGGTTTAAAAAATACAAACCCGACTCTGGAAATGAATAAGAGATTAAATAGAGCCAGTGTAGATTGAGAGCAGAAAATGCTTTCTAGGGAAATCTTTAGGGGTTGTTGATTATAACACAAAACATTTTTTTTCTTTGCATCTTAATGCTCACTCTGATATACTGGTAGGTACTATATTTGCACCATTCGGAGCTCGTGTATTTTCAAGTCATTCTTGGATTGGACTGTTACGTGATTGTTTATGAAAAACTACAATAGTTGAAAATAGCTCATGTAGAATTAATTGTTAACTTTGGATACAGCAAGTAGGTTTTTCATTTTATTGTAACAAAAAAAACCCTATTAGTACTTACATTGTTAGTAATCAGGTCACTTAACAAATATTTTGTCACATAATACTCATAATAGGTTTTCTTCAAACAATAAATTAAATTAAATCTCTTAAAATCTCTCAAACATTGAGCGATGCTTAAAACTTGTTTTCTGATAAACTAAAGCAATTATTCTTACACAATGAGCATTACTTCTTTAAAAAGCTCCTATTTAATAGCACCAAAAGTAACACATTTAAAATTGTACATTTCCAGGTAAATTTGAATGAAGATAATTTTACTAAAAAAATGCTTGAATAAGCTTCTGTTCAAGCGTGGGTTCCACCAAACATAATTAAGAGTTTTAATTGAACTCCAGTCCAAGAGATTATGACAAATTTTTATTCCTTTTAATTAGTAATATTCAAAAAGCAATGAAATTTAAACACATTGTAATTTACATCAATGATCTTGTTTCTCATTAATATACAGTTTGTCCCATAACTCTCTGACAATAATTTTACGTTTTGTTCCTAAAGTGAAAACAAACACGTTCTGCTGTACAAATGTAAAGTTTATGTCTTGCTTATCGTCCATCTTCAGTTTTTATAACCCGTATTTTATAATAAAAAATAACACTTTACTATTTACTTAAATACTTTTCAATGAAATGGTGATCATACAAAGTAGGTATTTTAAGCCAAGTATGAATGGAGATGAGTGTAGGATGAGTGGCGCGATCTTGTAGTCTTGTTAGTGACTAAGGCCCACATATTCTTTAGACACAGCTGTTAATTAATAGCCCATACAGCTAATGGCAACTAAGGGACCTAAAGTTTATAGTGGAATCCGAACCACATTTTTGCCTTGGTATTATTAACAAATAATAAATAGCCCCACTGCAGCGAACCTATGACTAAGCGAATTTCAATTTGTCTGGATTAGATTTTTACTTAAATATTTACATAAACAGTACATATTTATTCCTTACTAGTGTACCTGTTGCTCGAATTCGAGCAATTGCTAAGTATTACAGGCATTATTTTAAAACGAATAACAGCCATAATTTATAAAGGCTTTAAAAGATTCGACTCAAAGATTATGGAAATACTCAAGATTTACATAACAAATCGATATAATCAACATTTCTTGTAAATATCTGATCACTATTCAAAAGTTGGTCTTGTTTTTTAGTGTTTTCTACAAATAGCCTTACTCATAGCCGCATTAGGTTGTCCATAATAACGATTATAAATAAAAAAAAAACATTATTTCTATTTATTCTTCTTGGTGGTGTTGTATGACTCTCCTATGTTTACATAGTTTCCAAAGCGGCTCTTTCAATGATTACTAAGAATTAAATGCAGCACACAGTGTAGTACATAAAACTATCCAGGCTCTCTCGTTTTTTCCATTGTAATATTTACACCAACCCAAATTCAAATAGTAAATATTTCCGTTCACATAAGTCAGTAAATGTTTGTAGCAAACTGTTAAATTAGCAAACTTATTGACTGTTTACAATTTACATATGTTTTTCTTCTCACTTTTAATTTCTGACAACAGCTGAAGTTTCATAACAATTTTTGTTTCCCATGTTAATCTTATGGAGAAATACAAAACTTTAAAGGGCCCCAGGGCCTCACTCTAAAATTATTTTGATAAAAAGAAAGTTTCCTGCACAACTTCACATTACGCTCTTTCCAATGACACCAAATCATGTCAATCGGTTCAGTAGTTTCCAGTAGTTTCGGAGGAGTAATTGTCACAAAAATCCTGCTTGCGTATTAAATAAGTATAGATTATTACATAACATTAGATTTAACAAGAACTTAGGTTTTCTGTTACATGGAAGGTAAAAAGTGTGTGGCCACTGAATCTGCACTCCTATGTCAAAACATGCTTGTCTGGACCTACTCAGCAAAACGTATCAATATTATAAGAGAGTTCAAGGACATCCTTTATATAGTTTGCCAGATTTAAATAAAGCTACAGTTCACCATTACCAACATTGTACATTTGTTAGACAATAAATGTACTCAGATATGAGCAATTGTCAACCCCACACGACAATGAGGTTGTTCAATTATCTTAATACAAATTTGTTTAAAAAATTCAGCTGTAGTAGCCTTGTCAAAATAGCACAAATAAATTACAAAGTCAAACTCTAAAATGAGGAATGTTCAAAGTCTTAATCTTAATGACAGCAAATTAGTGAAGAACGGTTCCAGATGGCTTGAGGACGGAATCTAGAGCTCAGACCAATCAGCTTCTAACTTGATTCTCTCACGCGTAGAGGCCGAGCCTGTGTATCTTGGCAGACAAGAAGTTGTGTAGGATGAAAACCAAAGGCTTTGGACAAGCTTCTAAATCGAGTTCCTACAATAAAAAGTTAATAGCTTAATAATCACACATATTGGAAATATAAATCATTTAACCTCCAAATCTATAGTTTATACCCCTATTGTTACAGCCTAGAGGTGGGTGAGCTGGTCTAGTGGTGGAGCATAGTATCCCTAGTTCTAGTTTCCAGTATTTCCAGAGTTTCTAGTATTTCCATCATTCGCTCCCTGAGGTCACAGGTTTAAATCCTGCTAACCACAAATGGATTTGTGCTACTAGTGATGTCAAATAATCAGTTTGGCGGTTGTTGGAAAAAATCTAATTTTGGCAGACCTGTTTTTCAGCAGATGATTTTTTTGTTTTCGGACACCTGTTGTGCGTCATGAGTGGTTATGTTGTTGTAATCTTTGTGTGGTTAGTTTTCAAGAAAACCTATAAGTGTTTTATATCGGTGGAAAGAGGGTCAAATTTGGAACATTTTGACTATCTCAGAACTCTGATTCAGACCCTTTGGGTAGTCTAGGATAGACAACTTTTGAGAAATGAAAAAAGAAAATTATGTTCACCCTAATTCATGGAGGTCTTGGAAATAAAAAATGTGAGTATGCTCCTTCTAGTATTTTCATGTAGAGGGTAATTTCCTGGATAATTTGACATGTTATACATAGTACTTTGAGTTGAAAAAGTAATTTTTATATCCATTTTTCAAAAAGTCTGTGCGATTACCAAAAAATTATTATTATTTGCTAAAGAGCATTATTTGCATTAGCACTTGGAGGTTTAATTTGGTTAAGGTAACTAAAACAACTTCAGACATTAAAAGCCAATTGGTGCCAGATACAAACACTTTTTTGTTGCTCTTCAACTAATTTAGGGAACACTATAAAGTGTTTAAATCCCTCTTTTCATTCTGATAAAACTTAAGTAGGTAGTTGTTGATTTCACATGCCTCTCCAAGTCTTATTACAACCTTAATATGCCTTGGCTCAATGCTCTGTTTGGATTACAAAATAATACTCATTTTTCAGATCAGCTGTTTCTGTGATGTAAACATTAAGGAATACTTCTGACCCACAATATGCTATTGACTCACAATCTCATCATCAGCACCAAAGTCGAGCCAGAGCAGTCGAGCCCCGTCATCCGCAGAGGACCTCAGCCTCTCGAAGGGGAAGCTCCAGACTACCTTGGGTTGTCTGCCGGGCCCCGGGGCCTCTAGCAGACTGAATCCATCGTCATAGTGTAGCACAAGCTGAGCGAGCTGCCCTTGCCACACACACCCTGTATACAACACAAACATAGATTGAGACAGGGACACAATGAGTGTAAAATGAGGCGAGCCTTGTGTAGCTTTGTCAAAGACCAAAATCAGCAAAGGGCTAAACAGTGCATTCTAAACCAAGTATGAAAGGGAAATTAGTTTTGGACGAGTGTCATACGACGATTTGTTGCTGAGATAAACTTTTTTCACGGGGATCATTTATTGAAAGTCCAATGATCAAGGGACTGGGTCCAAATTCAACCTATCATACACTACTGACTTTTCTCAGGATTGAACTAGAGACCTGATTACCAGGCGACTGTGTTCAATTTTCAGCTTATAGATGTAGGAATCTCACAGAAACCGGGCCCAGGGTGGATAAACTAAAGCCGGGTTTACACGTGAGGAGTTGTGGGTAGGGTAGAGTATCTAGTAGAGTAACTCTACCCGTGTAAACAATCACTAGCACCTAGTAGCTAGTATAGTAGATAGTAGGTGGTAGAGTAAAGTTACTAGCAACATGTGGCATAGTAGCTCTACTTCCCCCATCAATAGCAAAATTGCCACTATCCTGCACACTATACTTGTGTAAACGTGATCCGTCGGCAGTAGAGTACAGTTTCTGAGTGACGCTGTCTTGTAACTGGTTTTGAACACTCATTTTGGGAATGAAGGAGGAACACACAGTTCATAAACTATCATCAACACTCTAATATTTCCACTCTACCGATTAAGCAAGCGCCTGTTCACACATAGAGTTACAACCCAGTTCAAAACCAGTTATAAGACAGCGTCACTCTACTTTTTAACTAAACAACTATATTTTCTGCAGAATCTATAAGTAAAGCACAATATAGACAACGACTGATGCCAACTTACGGCAGGCCAGTTCCCGCTGCAGCAGCACACTGTTGTGGCAGCCCTGTACAATGCATCTCGCCCACGTCGCAAGATCTCTATGTGTCTCCGCCCTCAACTGCTGCATAACCACCCCATCAGGTGTACCACAACGCACGGAGAATGTGATCACATCAGTCTGTTTGCTGGAGCTCACCAACCTGATCACAGAAATTATTTTTTTTTTGTTTTTTTGTTTTTTTTTTTGCTCAGTGGGTCGTTTGTTTCTAATCTTTGACTAAAATCGTGAATTTAACCAATATTAACATGGAAACCCATCCACTCGTCATTTAGTTCAATATTTTCTTTCTTTTTACGACTTAGTACTCTCATGTTGATACCAACTCAACTACATATATACATTTTATATCATACAGTAAACAAATTTGTAACAAACGTGAATTTGAAGTAAATACCTTCGCTGCAGCCATCCTGCATACTAAGCTTCCATTTTCCAGACTGGATTTTCACAAAAATATTTCCTTAATAATTTCAGATTTACTTCCTACTTACATAACATTTTAGGTTTAACATGTGCTTAGGTTGGCTGCTACAAGGAGGGTAATTAAGTGTTTGTTTTTTTTTTAGTTGATAAATAGCTTGGTATGAAATGAATAAATATGCCAAATCCAGACAAAATACCCAATAAATATAGTTTACTTATCCATCAAGAATAACATAATAATTAAAATTTAGAACTCTTTGAAATTTTTTCTGTAACCACTAACTGAACAACAATGCTTCAACATACAAAATTATTTTTTTTAGCTCTACAAAATAATGTAGAAATTATGTTTCCAGAGTTTCAATGTCAAAGAAACGATTATTTGCAATCGAGTTTCATCTTATATTTTAAGGTATGGCACCTGCCTTCTTCACTTTAGGAAGGCTATGTATTTTAAACCCCTTTGTCCCATATTTGTATTCGATTTGTTTATTTTAACACTTTTAATCAAACTGAATGTAATTTATTTGGCTAATACCAAAACAACAGGAAATCTAAGATAATGTTAGAAAAGGTGTGTCAAATACAATTACTCCTTTTATTCGGTGTTTAAAATAAAAACTACAACTTCATGTAACTCTTTCTACAAATTGTTTACTAGACCTTAACACTGATAAAGTGAATCAGTTTTTACACTTCACTTCTACAGCGGTTCATTTACACATGGGGTGACTGACACCAAAGATGCAATCACGAAAGAGTAATCAAATGTGTTCATGTATGTTTGAGAACTTTAAAAATGCCTCTGCGAATGGATGGACTTGCTGATTGGAAATTATGATTACAATTCAAAGCGCCCAAATCGCCAAAGTTACAATAAGTTGTTCTTTCAATTCGGCTTGGTTGGACTTTGTTCACTTATGAACAAAAAACAAGAATTTAACTTTTTGGCTTAGTTCAAATATGTTTATTTCCAGACTAAACTGGCTGAACATCAAAATAGAAAGTAAATAGTTTTATCGATAGTCAAAGGTTCTATGTAAACAATTTTTCAAACCTGGTAGAAATGAGGGGCGAAGTATCCAGTGGAGCACTCCAAGCCTCCACACTCCATGGAGCGGACTCGTAGAAGCGGAGCTCCCGTTGAGTTACGGCTCCAAACACAGTTTGCCACCGGGAGCTGCCTCCAGCCTCTGGCTCCTCGGAGCTCTCGGAACTGGCTCGGCCATTCTGCTAACAAAACAATCAAATATTGGAGAAAATTGAAAGGTACTCTAAGGATGAATACAACACAATAGATGTTCCTTTATAAAGAGAAGATTATGGGTGGAAATTGTCAGTACACAATTTAAGTAGGTACAAGAATAACAATTTATTCACCAAAGCAATGCAGTGAGAAAATGATAAAAGTACACTTTTTGTCTACTCAATAAAAATCTGTTAAATAAAATAAATTACATACAAAATACCATAAACTTGATCTAACCTAATATTTACCAAAATAGGCAATGTGAATAATAAAACTAGCAATGCACATAAAATACAGATTACAACTAAAGAACATAATCAACTCCTAGAATGACCATTGGCCAACAAATCCAATATAAATTACGAATGAACAAACCACATAAAAGGAAGAACAAATTGCAATTGAAAATGTAACAGAAAAGAACAATATGAGAGAATCAATCAAACCAATATAATGGCTCCTACCGCACAAAGCTGTAATATCGGCCACTTTCCATTGTCGACGCTTTAATCACTTCTGTCCTGAATGGAATCTATTTCACAGAACTTTGGTTGCTAAGACTACAATTATCTAAGTGACTTTTTGTGTTCGTCGGAAGATCAAAGAATCGTAGAGTATCAATTTTTGCCGAGAAGAATATTATAAATTTACAAGGGAGGTGTATTATTGTCCTGAACAATCCTTGAATCAGTTAATTTAATTATTATCAGTATTGTCTCTAGCTTGAAAAGTTAATCTGAAAAATAAACCATATCACTTGTTTGAGTTTTAATGTTTTTTGTCATGATTTTTTGGGGCTTTTTAAACCCGGTTGGTATTTTCAGCAACGGTCCAAACTGTGGTCTAGTTACTAACAAACATCGACCTTTATAGCTACTGTAGCATAAACGGTTAGTACAATTCAATGAAAAATAGACTCTGTGTATCGCTTGGAATTGAACCACCGACCTTCGGATTTGAAGGCAAGAAGTACAACAAATCAGCTACCCAGACAATGATAATGGATGCTAAACTGCATTAACAACTGTATACAATAATTCACGGGTACTTGAACAATACTTAATGGCAAAGGATACATAACTAAAAATATCTTTAATCAGACATTAAAGCTTTCTTAGTTTTACTTCACACTCTGTACAGTATTAGATAAAACAATACAAATACAAGCAAAGATTGATGGTTAATTTTTTTAGCTATATCTAGAAGCTGGATAAAGAAGTAGGACAGTAATGTATATTTTCACATGAAATAGTATAGAATCGTTTCATAAACAAATACAAGTAGAATAATTTTTTTAAGTAAAAAAATAGCCTATAAAGGATTTTTTTTTTACTTATTTATGAAGCTATAACTCATAAACTAATTGAGAAAAAGACATGAGTATTCACAAAAAGTTTGTACTTTTTTGCTCTTTAAAATGAGATATATTATACAATAAAAATTTTTCAGTAGTTAGAAAGTTAGAAAAGATTTAAAAAACCCATTTTCCCCCCAAAAAAAGCTCAAAAAACACCAAAAAGTATATGAAAAATCTTTTCTTTAACAGCGGTAATCCTTTTTCTAAGACTAAATGAACCTATAAAAGCATACGCTGATTTTTAAAAGGATTTTTTTAAGTCACTAGTTTCAGTAGCGACTCCCCTTAACGTTATTGAAAATAGGAACATCATAAATTCTTAAGAAAAGCTAAGATGTTAAAAAGACAACAATCAAGCAAGAGAGACAGCTTTGACATACACAAGCAAGGACTCGTTATTACTACGAGGGTTCCTTTGTTCCTAGAGGGTCCGAGTTGTGCATTATTTAAAAGACGCTGCACCTGACTAGAGCTTTTAACCAGGAGTGACTGCAAATGTTCATTCATTTCAGGTTGTGCAGAAGCTTGCATTTTTTTTGTCCTTTTCCAATAATTCACTACCACTATTTTTTAATTGCAATTCTGTTTATTCACAACCAGAATTTGTTCATAATCAGCCAGTTTGGTTGGTTAGGTTAGTTTGGAATAGTTTCATTTTATATAATATATTCATAGACTAAATGAATGTTGACGAAGCCTATTGTAACTGTGTTATCTAACGGCAAATAAATTCTTGATTCTTTGATTCTTGAAACAACTGTTAAAAATATCGGAATTGCAATAAAAAAGTGGTGGTAGTGAATTAACGGAAAAGAACATTTTTTTCATATTGAAGAAAAATATTTAAAAAATTTAAATAACACATTCTTATTAAATGTATAAGATTTAATTGAATCTGTCAACCAAATGAAATTGCATTTTTTATATCCAGGTATAAAATATTTACATTTTAAGCAAAACTCTTATCAAAAACTGTGTCTTTTACAAGCAAAACAATATTCAGATGGCAGTGCTATGCTATGTTAAATATATGCTAGGATTGCATAGTTAGTCAATCCAACACCTAATCACGTAATACTACTCAAACACCATTAATCCAACAGGCCAAACACACATTTTGTATTCATAACAGAATTATTAAATTTCATCTTGATATACAACATATTTGTATTTTTAATTCTTTACTATGCCAAACAACTCGGGGAGCGAGATGGTCTAATGGTTAGAGCGCGGGACTTAGGTCCAAGAAGTTCCGAGTTCAAACCCTGCCAAATCACCAATGGATTTTATCTTAGTGGTAATGCCACAACCTATAGGTCTAGCCTTAAGTAATGTGAAAAACATTCCTAGGCTTGTGTCTAAAAGAAAAAAAGGCCAAACAACTATGAAACTACAATGTATATCAAGGAAAAATAATTATCACATACACATTGTATTCATCCATGAGTCAAAATAATGTAAAATCGTAAAATTTGCGTGTTCATATTTTGCTAAACTCAAAAATAATCGGTATGACAAAATATCTTGGTCAACCTTTGCGTTTGGCGCATTTTTGATAACTGATTGTATCGAATTCTGAATTGTATAATTAACAAATAAATAATTCTAAATTCACGTATAAATAAAACATTAAAGCGGTTCAGTTTTTACAAAGTCAATTCCCGACAATGTAATTATCGATGTACTTCCATACAACTCCAACTTCAACGTTGATAATTGGTCTTCTACTGTGAAATGATGACAAGCATTATTTGATTAAATCATTCTATGAGTTCTTTAATAAAACTATGTTTAAACTAATCTTTAACTGCTATATTGCTGATCTGTATTATCAAATGTTATAAGTCAATAATAAATTTAGTTAATACTATCTTAGGCTACCATCTTGATGAACACAAATTTGTAAAATTGGTTTAACCGTGGGAAATAAAATAATAAATAAAAACTAAAGTTTCTAATTCACTTTCAAACAAAAGCAACTGAAATTTATAAAAATAAACGAGATAAAAACAACGTTAGAAACTGTGCAGAGCTGAGAACTCTGTATCGTATCGTCTGCTAGACATGCAAGGGGGCGTTCCATCGCCATCATTATCACAGTATCACTACAGTTACAGCTGCTATCTCCGCCTGCTAATGCTGCCTAAACTCGGCCACCCAGACATTGTATGGAAAACAACACTGCTAGTTACATAGAAATTAGACAATTAATTAAGTTAAGGAAAATTATATGCACATAAAAATATATGTTAGATTTAGCAACATTGGATGGTGTCGAGTTTAAGTATTATTTTATTAAATAAAGCATAGTTTTAAATTTTATGCATTTTAGTCAAAGATAAATAAACCACATTTTGAAAATCTAGAAAATCCTGAAGTTTACTAAGATTTAGGATTTTCAATAACACATCTTTATAAACTAAAAAAAAATACTTATTATAAAAAAATATTTATTTTTTAGTGAATTTGTCAATAAAATAAAATTATAGTCAACACTGAATTGAAGTGACATAAAAATATAGTTATTTATATTTTGTAATGTTTTAACATACATTTTAAATACTGTAGTTGAAGAACAAAGCAACTGTTAAGACCCATACCATAATACTTATATTCATTACAATACAATTACTTAGAATTTATTCTACGAAACTCAGCCAAGCACAGGTCCCTGCAGATTTGGACTTTTTCCCTTGGGTTTTGTATTATTGATTTTAACATTTTAGTAATTTAAAATTTACATTCACACAAAGGAATTTATTGTTTAGTACTGTTGAAATATAAAATTACCTTGTACTGTATGTGTTGAATATTTTGTTTAAAGTAGACTGCTTTTAATTGATTCATACAATTAAAAGCATATTTGCAACAAAAAGTATATTTGCAACAACAAAATAATAACCTTTAAAGTTATCACATTTTCTTACAACCTATCTTAACTTTACCCTTTTTATGATTAAAAAATAATCATAGGCGAACATTAAAATATGAATCTCAACAAGCATTGAACCACAAAAAACCAAAATATATTTAATATTGTTGATTGGTAATTGTTTCATGGCAAAAACGTCACAGCATCTCGCGTATTAAACTGATCAATTATACAGTCAACTGATATGGTACAGGGGTTGTGCCACATCAAAGGAATTCTATTCAGTCTCTTACTTGGGGCCACAAAGGCAGGGGAAGGATCAATTAAGCTGTGATTGGTCGCTTAGCACAACCACAGTCGGAGTTCATAACCCAACCTGACCCTGAGGCCGAACTGTGCATTGAGGAAGAGCAAATTAATAAAATAAAAGTAATAATTAATACAATAATTAAAAACCAGTATATGGAAAAAATTATCATCTTAGCATTTTAAAAGTACTGAACAGTAGTTCTGCTGTATTCAGATTTACTTTTTTTCTAACATGGGCCTCTTACAAGTTTCATAAAGATCGGTTGAAAAATTCAAAGATAAAATTGTTTATGTAAAAAATACAAAATACTGGATAACTGGTTAACGAAGCGATTTTGGAAAAAAATGTTATACAGTAGAGTCCCACAAACTCGGCGTAATGTGGACTGGAAGGGTGCCGAGTTTGTGAAATGCCGGGTTATAGGGAACTAGGTTTAAAAATAAGT